ATCTCTCACCAACATCGTAGTTTATTTCTCTCATAATCTCTTCTTTTTCGTAATACTTTAATGCATATTTATATAAAAACTAAATAATCTACAAAATACCATAATTCCTAGCTTACGTTCCCAGAGCACACAGTAACGATTATATATGTATAATGGATGTTGTTAAAATATTCGTTAGATTAATAAAAACCCCTGTCTCTTCATCCTGCTTTCAGACCATGTACAAAATCACGATCGTGTAAAGCCGTTTCTGTCGTTCCTTGCGCGCAAAATATGCAGTTCCTGCAGTAAATTCAATTCTACGTCTACATTGATTTATAAGAATGTATTTATCTCATCGACGCTCGGTTCCTTTTGTTAGACAATTCACGCCGCGCCTGGCAAAGTCTGCAAATGTCGCGAATACACGATACAATATGTGCCGTATGTGTACTGCACGTGCATCGTTGCAGCTGCACGTGCGATGCATTCGCGAGCGAATTTGCCACCGATAAAGCCGACTGAATCGTGAGCAACGTCGATGGCTTACAAAGTCACTCATACGCGTGATGGCGTTCGTCGATTGTGGGATTCGCGTCCATATGCATTTTTGTCGACAGAGCCGAAGGGCCGCACCTAAATTGATTCTGATACGCAAAGGTAGAGCTTACACAACTGGTAAAATAAAATCCGTCACGCGCATGTGTAATATTCGCTGGCTAGTTTAGCCCCAAACCAAATATTGTCAAACGTGACAGTGACAAGCGAATTCTGGTTAACGACAAAAAGTTAAAAATATTACTTGCCGAATTAATGCATATATCCTCGAGTAATATTACTTCAACTGTGCGTGTATTATTAATAAAATTTTATAATGTATACTTTATGTATCTAACTTATATAACAAAGAAAGAGAAAATTTAAAAGTATATATCATCCATTATTCGTGACTGAATGTCGTAATAAATCGCGATATATAGGTATTATCGAATTAACATTCGTAACCGCATCTCGTCGTCTAATCTCTTTTGTTATTTTCACTAACGCTTTTTTCATATTCTTCAACGCTTACAAGATATCTTTTTTCATCCTTCTCCTTCGACTCTTTCCTTTAATCTCCACCCTTCCACTTTGCTAATCCAGTATTAAACTTTCTCTTCCTGCTACGTTCCTTTCTACCCGATCCTCGGCTTATAGCTACTGATCCAGCATTAAAACTCTTCTTAGCAGTCTCGTTCTCGATCCTCATCTTGTGACACTCGTAATCCACTCGTTCTTCCTCATCCTCGCTCATGGATACGCATATGATTCTTTCGTTACAATCGAACAATTATAACCCTGCATGTCATTGTAGATATTTCTTCTGTTTTATGAAGACAGAATTATAAAATCTTTCAAGAAAAATGCATTACCAAAATATTTAGATTATTGAAGTATTTAAAACGAAAAAATACTTTGTACTTTTACCTATTAAATTTCGAAAATGCAGATATGTAATTCGTTCTTTTGTTTCTAATGTACAAGAGATAATTACCGAAGAATTTAATATTAGAATTATGAAATTATAAAAACTCCCTTTAGAAACTTTTATTTAAAAAATTTATTTCCAAAGTTCTTCTAAAAACGGATATTAGATACTGTTTCTTATACATTACTTTAAGAATATTTAATGGCGACATAAAAAAATGTTTCCTTATCAAATTCATGAAATAAAAATCATACTAACATAAAATTTCTATAATAATGTTCTTTCTTTTTATTTAATGTAACTAACAATAAATTTTAATTTCGAAAAAATGTGTAGAAAAACTAACTAGAATTAACACAATTCAAGATCTGAAACACTAGAAAAACGATAATTGAATTCAGTTGACTGTAGTTGATTGAATCTAACTGTAAAACTTTATTTCTATTTTAGTTGCTGAGTTCGATCGTAGTAGTCGGTGGGACGAACGTAGCTGGCGCACTGACACATCACCCTCGGGAACTGGCGCAAAGACAAGCATTCCTTGAAACTCGACAATGTGTCGAAGCACGTTTGACCACGCAGCGAGAGAATCAGCAACAGGTATGCTACTGCATTTACAAAAAGTTCGTATTTGACTCGATTAAAGAATAAAAAAACAAAACTGATAAAATTATAAATTTGCAGGAATTATAAATTTAAAAAATAAAAATTTATAAATATATGTTTAATAATAATAAAAATAATTGTAAAAATTAAAAAGATAAAGATATTAAAAATGTGTAATTATTTTATAAACTATTATATTTTAAGAAAAAACTTCTGAGTATCGAATTTTTAAGAAATGAAGAGTGCTAAAATAAAGCAATATAAACTCTAGCAATAATATTATATATATATATATATATATATCTTGCAACATAAAGTTGATTGAGACTGTTATCTAGAGAGCGAAAAGGATTAATAAGAAATAAAAAGGTAATAAAAAATAAAAAATTTCAGATCTCTAAGAAAGTTGAAGATTAACTTAAAGGACAACGATGAAACTCATTTATCGATAAGGGGCAAAAAACAAGTAGAACCGTGATACACGAAGTTCGAGACGTTGGGAAATCTGATTTTTCTTCACAGATAGCTATGATAATGTTTCTATTGTTGGAATTACTAAAATCTCGTTTAGTAAAACCTCATAGTTTGAAGTATTATATAACAGGATAAAGCTAATATATTTGACGACATCGAGCTAAATTTTATCGGCGCATATCTTGATGATTAAATTCTGATACAAAGAAAATCATTGTTTGGTTGAAATTTATATAATTATAATGATCTTATTTATTAAATATAATCTTATTTATTTCAAAAAAAAAAAAATGTAACATGTGTCACATTGCAAAAGATAGTCAAAGTATATCAACGTTTTTAATAGCAAATAAAACTGTTCATCTAATGGCAACATACGTTTATTTGCCATTTAATATTTTACAACAATGTTATTGCAATTTCTCTCATTTTATCAGTATATAAAAAACATAGAAGTTCTTCTTATTAAAATATTTAATGACTTGTATTAGTATTAAAAATATATTTATTTTTCAATGTAAAACTTCAATAAAGAATATCCGATATGCGGATCTCTTTCTGTTTCGGTAGACTATTTTCGTATTTCTTTCATAAATAAATACGGTTAACTTATAGATGACACAATTCTCTATTAATGGTAAGGAAGACGATTATATCTGGAGACGTCGCGGAGATCACAACTGAGAGATCTGTTTTAATGTCAAATCCAATAATCTTCTAATCGACATTGATAAAACCATGTCATGGAAGTAACGATTATTATCATTCCCGCGGCGCACCATTCTGCCGGAATCTCGAGTAATTGACGCCTTTATTAATTATTAATGACGCCATCAATGTAGACCGCACGTAAATGCACAAAGGGGATTTGTGTTCTATGTTCAGAAACCGCGAATATGGCTCGAATAGTTCAATCAGAAAACGTACATTTAAAAATTCTTTCCCACAGAAATCAATATAAAAATTAAAACTATTCTAAAGTCAGATTCCAATTAAAGAAACTTTTTTAATTAAAGGTAAAGTGGAAAGCATTTATATACATACGAAAAACCTCACAGAATCGATCCCTTTTGAACTAATTGAGGTCTTTTCTTTTCCGGTAGTACAATACAATATCGACATAATTCGGATTGGAACATGTTAAGTAAAGACGGCTTTAAAAAAATATGCTAAATAAAAATCATAACGGTAATTTTCCAAACAAAACTTCTTAACGCTCTCAACAAATTGAAAATTTACAAAAGCGACTAAAGTACGTACTCAGTATAGTCAGTAGCACAATATTCAATGCGAAGTCACTCATCTGTGGGGTTCGAAGATGAAAACGCGTCGCGCTACAGATAAATCCCGAGACTCGCGTATAATATCGTCGTTGTCGGACGCGCGATTAGAAATTTCTTTCACAAAGAATTCAGGGTATGGCGATAACGAGCGATTCGATTTGGACTTCCATTCGAAGATCCGAAAGGATTCGCCGATGGAACATTTCACGAACGATTGTCGTCGAGCGTATATAGGTGAATGTATGTATAGAAAGTACTCAGAATCATTGTGCATTCTTTCATTTCTACAGATTTCCTGGTAAACTCGCAATCAATTTTTCCGTAGCGAAAACTCAAACAACGATTTTACAAATAAATATACAACCTTTCAAGAAGTCATATTTGCATTTTTCAAATATCGAATTAATAATATATGATAGCATGACATCAAATAAGAATTTTTTAAATTAGTAAATAACGAAAAATTGCGCTATTTTTAGATATGTAAAAGAAAATGTTCAATAACCGCGTTTATATTATCTTTATAAGTAAATAAAAAATACGCAAATTTTCCATAAATTATATCTCACGCTCAATCTGGCAAATAAATTAACGGGAGAGCAATAGTTTACGGAAGTTTACGTAAGAAAAAGAAAATGTGTACGACCAGTGTGCGAAATCAAACTGCGTGCTCATTAAATAGCACATGTTCAATTCCTTGTTGTCGATACGCGTGTTGTTTTTAACACGCCTGTGGTCCTGTAGTCTTTGTGAGAATTTTATCCCGCGGGAATGTTAAACGATATTGCAGTATAATTATTATTTTACGATGCCGCGGGCCCAATATTCTCGTTCTGCTTCATTGTTTATAGAACTTTGGCATTGCGCGTATTAAAACAAAACGACGTCTGCATTGAAAAGCGTGCGAATTTAGCCGAAATACGGCGGTCGGCCAACAAAGCTTCGGGGTGAATTTATTTCGCGTGAACGTGTTGTCCAACAGTCGGAAAATAACGGACAAACTGTTTGTCGAGGCACAAGAGCTTTAATAAATAGAGTGCGCCGATTGTTCATCAACTATTTTTTTTTCAATTCTCACGTATTTTCACTCAGCTCAGTTGAAGCACCTCCTCCTAGTTAAAATAAACTTTTTAAACAACAGCGGAATATACTTCGAAATAGAGGCAACGCTTCCCTTATTTCTGAGACAAATGAACAAATGTAATGAACAGGCAGCTCTAACTTTGTCATTACTTCATTTCACTACTACTACTACTTCCTCATTTGTTGTTAAGACTTTCTTTTGCTAAGACTCATTTTTATTTATTTTTATGCTTTTTATTTATCTATTATTTAAGTATTTGAGTTAAGTATTTTATTTTTCATTTATATTTATATTTTTACTTATTTCGTTGTAGAATATATAATACTGTAACTAATATCTATAAGCACTCCACCACTAATTATCTTTATCACACATCCAAAGAGCTTAAAATATCGTTGTGTGATCTCGATCAGAATTCTCTGATTATGGTTTATTTCCAGCGACGTACAAAAATAACGGAAACCGAAATAATCGCCGACAGGCTGCAAAGTCTATTAAAGTCTATTAAAGATAGCACATCTTATCGAATATCTTTCGCTCATAATCACAACGCTATTGTAACGGGAAGGGCTTTATATTATTAATCAGAAATCCGTGAACACACCGTTGCGATATCAATCTATTGTTCACGCTTGCTCGTTGATCGCCCACGGTCATCCCGTATATACGAAACATCGCCGTCGAATCACGACGTTGAATGTATGGGTATGCGTTTAACAGCGATGAACATGCACCGAAATGCTGATCTCGTCTTCCTTTGATCAGAATCGCTTCAATCGTCAAGAACGACAAAGCAGACCACATTCGCGCACTGCGGAAGCAGCAATAACAAGAATAATAACCCACAGAAGAGGAAATCTAAATAATACACTTTTGCAAACGCAGTGATCTTCTACATTCATTGACCGGATACGATACGCACATGCGCGCGATACCGATTTGTTCTTTAACTCATATAAGTATAGTAATCGTTCTCCTCAACCTCGGTTAATTTTAAATATAATTTCTTTTGTTTTTGTCCTTTCTTAACCTTATTTTTGGAAAGTGCAAAAAACTGAAAAAACCACAGTGAAACGAGACCTAAAGATAGCCGATATTGCAGAAATCAATATTGGAGAAATCAACTTTGACTGTGAGAAAAGAGTGTTAAGCAGTCAAAAGTAGCTCTCTGATTTCCGAGATTGAAAATAATTAATTCCCAAATAAGATTTCTGTCGAAATATATGTAATTCATTTAATTCCACTTAGAACCGAACAAGAGATAACATTATAATTAAAATTTATTTTCTATTTATGTATTTAATGATTAATTGCTAAAAATTCTTGATTCCTAGTCGCTTAGCTAACATTGTCGGCAAGACAAACGCGTAGCAGTCAGTTAAAAATAATTGTGACGCTCTATAGAATCGGAATCGAACCGCGACGTGTCTATATTACACGTAGGCTTGCACATCGCGATGCAGATTCTAAAAGCGCACACAACAACTACATCCGCGCGTATCGATCATCAACACGAAGCTTGTCGAACGCGTCGTCGACTTTGCCTGCACTTGAGAGGTTCCCACAATGTTGACGAGTTCTACGTTTCGAACAATATACGTCGCTCGCTATATGTTTCTCGCCCGTGTGTGTTAACCGAGGTCGTGTCAGTTCGATGTACATTGTACATGATCCCCGCGGAATAGCAAAGATTACCGGCTATTGGAAGGGTGACTCTTTTCCGCTTTAGCTTACGATACCGCAAAGGTTTCCAATCGACAATCGTGGAAACATCCGTGAGCTAGTGCAATGTGCTTTCCGCGATGCTTACAATTAGCGATACAGATTTCGCAAAAATCTCAAGATGTCGCGTGTTAAGAAGTACGGCAGAAGTAAATATTTAATTAAATAATTTCATGGCTAAGCTAGAGAATTTATCGCGACTAAGCGTTAAGATCGGAAACGTAAATTCTACATGAATCTATAAATTAGATTAGATCTTATTATTCAATCGCGACGTATATATGTTTAATTTGTAAAAATTCTTTTCATTTTCGATCGTTTGCAATTTCAAAAATGTATCAGAGATTGCATTATGGCAAATCAACTCGAAATCATTCGTATTATAGAATCTGTGATTAAACTTAAAGGAAAAAGTTCCGATACAAAGTATAGATGCGAAAATAAATAGTATATTATTTATGCTCCACATGTAACAAGCGGGCACGTACATACAATTTGAATTAATAGCGCATAGTAATTATTGAATAACGCATTTAGCTCTTATGTCTGTATTAATCTGCACGTCCCCTAAGCTGACCTATCTATTATGATCCTCCACAGATCTCTCAGGAGGATATTAGAAGATCTATTCCTATAGACTAATTTAATAATGGCTGCTATTGATCATATATATTTTGTTTGATATAGTAGTATATCGATAAATCTAAGAAAATGTTCAATTACTTTTAATTATGTTATTTATGACAACATCGTGAGAGAAATATGAACTGTAACGTAATTAATGAAACTACTATAGAGGTAAAATTAGCTGAAGAAAATTATATTTTAATTGTCATATATAACATCTTAAATTTCACCAACTTTTGCAGTTATATTTTACATCTGACAGTATACTTATTATATAAATAGTAATATATTAGTGATTTAATTTCTATTTTTTAATTTATTTTCATTATAGCTTTTACATGTATTTTATTATCTCTATTTAATTTTATTGTTTTTTTTTTAATTTAAGCAAGTGTAAATATCCTGATAATAATATTTAATTGTAACTTATTTTTCAGGAAAGGCTCTTGCTCAGCGTATTACCAAGGCACGTTGCTATGGAGATGAAAGCCGATATAGCCGGAAAACCGAAGGACACGATGTTTCACAAAATTTATATTCAAAGACATGAGAACGTCAGGTACGTCGCGCCGATGGTCTGCGAACAAATAGCAGTCATTTAAGACGCGCAACTTTAGAAAGAACCAAAAAAAACCATGTCACTTCGAAAATGTCACTTTGACATTTTTTGCAAATGAGACCCAGTTCCGCTTTGTTACTAAATAAGCTCAAGGAAATTTACATAACTATTTTATACATTACGTCCTCTATGCATGCTCGCTACTTAAACTGAAATTCGCAGCAGGTTAAACTTTGTAATTCTTGCTTGCGGTATAAACGACCGACTTTTTGCCCTATCATAAAAAATATGCATCTTTTGGGAATTTAAGCTCTTCGTAAAATGCATGCGCTATACGTTTCATCACACACAGTTTATTATAAATTACAAATCAGAAAACGTATTTTAATATAATTTACGATCGATATTATAACATCATATCACTCAGATTATTACAAATAATTACACTATCGTGAGCATTATACAGCATTTATGAGGTGATATGCATGATCGTCCTGTAATGCACTCACGCCAAATGCTTCAAAACTTGACGATTTATCACGGTGCCGCGTGCACGCAACATGATAAGCACACGTGGCTGCATAGAGAGAATTCTAGATTAGTTTAAAGTGGATTGAGATGTTACAACCGATCTCTCGTATCAGACGTCTCACCAAGCTCAGGTCAATCTAACTTAATCGGCGAATTCTCAAAGAGCAAATGTCATGTTCATTTAACTTCACCGAGTTTCCGCGAACTTGTGACAATTTTTCGTTTCTAGTTTCCCTTTTCTAAAATGTGTGACTCGATACTTGCCCGTGGCTCGTTTGAGACCTGCTAAAGTCAAAGTAATTACAGAACTCTTCACCAAAGTGCTTATTCAGGGACTGTCCGTATTGAAAGTTAATTTGAAAATTAATTTCACTAAAATAACTGACTTTATTATTATTATTATTATTATTATTATTATATTATTATTATTATTACCAAATATTTCAGCATTTTGTTCGCCGATATCTGTGGATTTACCTCGCTCTCTGATCAATGCACTGCCGAAGAGCTCGTCAGATTGCTCAACGAACTTTTTGCACGGTAAGAAACGTTACAATATAATAAAAAGATTATTATACGAAAAGATTATTATTAATTTTAAATCTATAAAAAAATGTATAATAGAACGCGTATTAGGATAGATAAACGGTTTTTAATCAAATTGTCAGCGTCGTTGATGACTTTACATATTAGTATAATAAAAAGGTATATTATATTATGATATAAAAACTTCTATACCTTTTTGATATAATGTACTATTATATTAATATTTTGTGCTTTTCTCAATAAATTCTCAATTATCTTTTATTCTTGCTAATCAAAAATTTCTCAGAAAGAAACACGGTCATAAAATTAATATTCCCAAAAATAAAATGCCATTATTATAACTTGAGGAATTTACTCTACTGAGAATTAATAAAATACAATTTTAACACAGTCGATAAATCTCGAGAAAAGAACTACTCTATCACAATCTTACATACATTGAAATTTTCTCTATTTTTATTTACTGTTCAGAAAACGTTTAGAAGAAGCGTAACGGATTACTGTATCCACGATGTGTATTTCCACCCATTCAACTCGATCGAAATATCAATTTCTTTTCGTTTCCTTCTCCCAATGCAATTCTATTGCCTCTGATACTGACTCTCTTAAGTCTTATGAACATTCTTATTCCTCCGAATACAAATCCCCTTTGAAATCTCACCAACAGATTGCACTTCGCCAAAAATCAATTTGACATCAAAATGTGCTTGCATTTCGCAAACTGCATACGTTATCATAATCTTAATATTAAATTAATATTATCGAAAACTTTTCCTCATTATTTTTACTTACAGAAAGATAAATTTGATGTTTGACTTCAATAATTTGAAATATTTTTAAATTTACGAGAAAATTACATTCATAAAATAATATTCTATGAATGTTGAATCAATTTTTAAGTCTGCATTTATTAAAGCTTCGCCCTTTATTTCTGATGAATATTGTCAATTTGCTACGTTTGTGTCAAGAGTTTCTCAACACCCTTCACTCTTAAAGCTTTCCTCTATCGTACCTTATGTCCTATACGAGTGCTCGAAAAGTCTTTCGATAGCTATGGATTTTGCGTCTGTAGTAACTTTTCGGGTCAATAGGGCGTACTTATCCTGCAACCAAGAGGGATTTGCTAAGAGGTCATAAAGGCCGCTTTCATTCCTCGCGATGATGTCCGCTTTCATGTATCAGTACAGCCGAGATCACTTTTCAGTATTCTGCGAATGCAACGCTTTTATCCCCACGCGATATGCCTCTTCGAAAAAAATGCTCGGAAAAAAAATAGAGAATGATAAAAAATCAACTTGTAAATAACGTTAAACCTTACAAATGTAAGATCATATTTCCGCGACCCGGGATCATTAAAAAATTATCCTCCGAATTGATCAGATCAAATTAGCAAACTAATCATCGGATATTCTTTATGCAGAATGTATATTTGCGAAACACATATACCCTTTTATTCATTTTGTATGGTGCATAAGTAGATAGATGTTGCGTAATACGGCAATATTTCAATATTAATATTGAAATAGGGAACTCTATTACCTCTCAAAGACTTAGTGATAACGCGATAATAATTGATTTAATTACTATTCGAGTTACGTATATACGCAACTCCATCGAGGACTGTTATTTCCTACGTATCATACTAAACTAGATTAACATAATACACGCTATGCGTTATGTAGATTTGATGCACGCGTGAAATATTAATATCGCCCTTCTGGCGCCCTGAATTAATTTCGTATAATATGCACCGTGCGGAACGCGACGTTGCTGAATATCTAATCTGAATAAACCGATTATCCTTCGGTTTATTAGTGTCCTTACTTTTGTTGACGCGTCATCTCTCTGTCGTATCAAATTAATTTAACGCGATACAGTATTTACTCTACATAATCCTATTTAGTATCAATGTTATGTAAAAAAAAGATAGTAATAATAACATTAAAAATTTAGTTAGAGATTCAATTACAAATTTAATAAAAAGAGCTGAAAAAGTTACATTGTGTGCTTAGGTACAGAAAAATATTACAGAAGTTGCACGAAGTGTGGAGTTACGTGAGAAAAAGTAGCGGATATTTCTGTACATATTGTTATGAAACCCAGAAGTTAGTTTGATGGCAAAAGCCAAAGATTTGCATAATATTTCCACGTAAAGCGTTCTTTTCCGATTTCTCTGAGGTAGAGAGGTATCCACGCTCGATATACAGTTAGATTTCTTCGATATTGTAAATTGTTACGTTGAATTCTCGGAAATATCCCGCAGGTTTGACAGGCTAGCCGCTGAGCACCACTGCCTCAGGATAAAGCTCCTCGGAGACTGTTATTATTGCGTTTCCGGACTTCCGGAGCCACGGCCCGATCACGCTCACTGTTGCGTAGAAATGGGATTGGACATGATCGATGCAATAACGTAAGTCTGCATCACATTCCTTCACCTCTCACGCAACAGTTTCGTCAAGCTTTTATCATATACTTTATCGTCAAAGAACAGTATACTGTTGTGTTATCTATAATATGTATACACGCCGCTTTTTAAGATCAATATATATGATAATAAGTAGCTAAAGCATAATCGATAGCTGCGTCTTAATTCAGAACGTATTTACATTTAAAATCATATAATAGCAAAATAAATCTATCATATGTTCTATCAGCAACATCAAAGATCCACGTAATACTCCTTATCCTGGCTCGCTTGACAGCGAACAAAGAAAACAATTAAAGATAGAAATAGCCGAAGATAAAATCTCAAAAGTTGTCGAGGAAAAGAGATAGATAAATAGATGTACACAAAGAAAAAGAAAGAAAAGGGGTAAGAGAGACACAAACTAGGTAGATCAAAGTAACATCCGAGCAATAAAGATGTTTTCGCGCTTAGATCCACGAGACGACCACAGAACTTCCGGCGGAGCTGTATCCGTGCGCTACATATCCCATGTTTGATTCGTTTCGTGTTTTCATAAAACGCGTTTCATCGTCAAAGAGAAGATTTCCTCAGAGAGCGCGATATATGTGTTCACGATTGAAGTTGATTCGCGTCGTCATGAAAGGCTCCTCGTATCCACGGGTCACTGCACGCAGACGAATTCCTCATAAGCACATGCGTTTAAATTTCAATTTGATAATCTTGTGTTAATCTTTCGCTGTAAGTTTCTCTTGATCAAACTTGCCGCTGCTTCATCCACGATCAAAATAGTTTTCCGTGTGTAAAACTTATAACGTTCGATACAGAATTCTTGCGACAAATTGTACTAATAAATGCATGTGAAAAATATATACGTAAGAAAAAAATTTGAAGAGCAATCATTGTAATTGGAGACTAACTAAAATGGGTAACTTTGTCGCGAAAAAATCAACATTTACACATAAAAGTTTCTTTTTCTTGTTTCGTTAATAAATACTCGAGAACTTTTTCAATAATTCAAAGTTTTGAATACCGAAGTAACCACTGCTGAGTACACTTAATGGCGAGAAAGTTTGTTTGTTGTCAGAAACTTGGACAACGAACATAGTTATCCAACTACTTCTACGCCTAATGATAGGAAAAACAATAAATTCTCGCGTCCGTATCTCCCTAGATTGGTTCGCGAAGTAATGGCCGTAAACGTGAATATGAGAGTCGGTATCCATACGGGCCGGGTTCACTGTGGAGTTCTCGGTCTGAGAAAATGGCAGTTTGATGTTTGGAGCAACGACGTGACCCTAGCCAATTACATGGAAAGCGGAGGTATACCCGGGTGAGTACAAGCAATTTTGCTCGAGGTTTGTCAACCCTTGACTGACTTGCCCTCTTCAACTTAGTTTCGATTGGCGGCGATAAATTACGTCGGTATATCCTATATAAGTTCTTTACTTCGATTCGTATAAAACTTTTCGGTTTTTTGTGCGTACATAACTTTAAGCAAAACAATCGTACGGCAACCATATTATCCTTATTGATAGACAGTTCTCCTAATATCGGGTCATTACATCGACCAAGTTAATATTAAATAGAAAATATGTTTCGCAGACGTGTACACATCACAAAAGAGACTTTAGATTGCTTGGGCGGATATTACGAAGTCGAGGAAGGCCGCGGGGGCGAAAGAAATGCGTACTTAAAGGACCATAACATCAGAACTTACTTGATCGTCCCGGGAGACACATTTAAGGATAACATAACTAGTTCTGGGATGCGAAAAACCTTCCCGGCGAATGGTAATGTGTCCAAAGAGATGAGGGTTATGGGTCACGGTTCCCAACACGGCAAACAAACTAAGTAAGAGCTCCTCTATTATCGCTAATTAATCTCTTAACCCTTGACATTATAACGGCACAATATTATAGTCTCATCGCTTAAATAATTTCCGAAAATTGTCAATAATTATGAGATATCCAAACGTTACCTATTCTATCTCAATCAGAAAACAATCGTAACTGTTACATTTTCAAATCGTATTGTGTTTTCCAATTTCGTACAAGCAATTATAAAATAAATTAATCATACTGCCCATCCTTTAAAAATAAATGGCTTGATGAGTAAAATAAAAATCTATAATATCGTAACAAGTAGATAAAATAAAGTGTTAATCCGTAATAAATGTTATGTTGGAATTACATCATGATAAATGTGTCATTGAGTAAGCTTTACGATGGCATTTTATACTCGAATAATACTTGCTGCGTACGTTTCAACTTTCAACAGATTAGGCTTCGGCGAAACCATTGAGGGCGAAAAGGATCCCGAAGATGAAGTGAACGAATACCTGATGAGAGCGATCGATGCTAGAAGCATAGATCGATTGAGAGCGGAGCATTGTACGCCGTTTATATTAACGTTTCGAAGACCGGATGTCGAAGAAAAGGTAAATTACATTACAAGATGAATAAATTCGTCTAATAGCTTCATACCACTTAATAAAATAAATCTTAATACGAAATTTTTCATTGATTAACGCAATAGCATTTATTAAAATGATTATACTATCAAATTTGTACAATAACAATTTTATTTTTATAGAATATCTTATATATATGTATAAACGTAGCATTTTTAAAAAATTTTTATAAAATAATTTCCCCTGATTTAAAAATATAATTTAGAAATATAATTATTTTAATAGAAATAATATTATAGATAAAATACAAGCTGTAATTGCGTACTAAACTGTCCACCCCTATACAATTGAACGCGACCTACCAATCGACGCGGTAATTCACGTTAATGAAAAGTCGTTTAAATTTAATTTTGGTTAATTCGCTAAGCGCGTATTTGGATTATTCGGATTCCGCGTGATTGAATTGCGCGTCGTAATCGATTGAACGGAATACATTTTCTGCATTTTCTCGTCGAGAAGAAAGTCCGCAACAAAATTGCCCACGATAGCCAATGATTAAAAGCACGCCCATTATAGTAGTAAACAGCTCATACTAAAACGTGAAAGCAATGCGCGATATTGTAATTGTTTTAATAACCTGTTGCAGTACTCGCGCGAGAGGGACAGGATGCTCTCGGCTTATTTTGTGTGCTCCGGTTTCGTCTACATGGTCGTTGTGGTCGCAATAGCCATCACCCTCGCCGGGTAAATACACGTGCCAATAAATCCTACCTTCTATATAGTGCGGCAGCGATATCTTTCTTTTATTACACTCTCGAGACCCGATGTGTAAAGTCCACTCGTACTTTACTAACGTCGAATTGTCCTTCGTTCCAATATTTATAGACACTTGTGCGAAAATCGTTCGATAAGTTAGCATAAGGCGACATAAATCTGATGGCGACGATCAAAACGATTTTCGCAAAAAGAACTTCGTGAAAAATCGCGTTAAAAATATCCCGTTTGTCTTCATAGGAGCGTATACTTCTACGTCTGCACGGCGATTAGCATACTGGTGATAGCCTTGGTTAATGGCATTTTATTGGCGGAAAAGAACGAGGTAAGAGCTCATAAGTGTCTCTGGATATACATGTATGAATTTTAGTGACCGCTTACCCTGGAATCGCAAAACTATACATTCGCAATAGCAATTATTTCCATCCTTGCTATTATATAGAAATGTCTGTAATACGTCTGTAAATAAATGAGATTTAAATAAATCGCACGATACATCGCATACGACATCGGGTCAATGACAAAACTCTTTGGAAGAGTGCCACTTCGATCCTTTTGACCCTGACCAAGTGGCAAGCTTCCAGGTCACTGCCGAAACAGTGATCCTGGTCGAAGCAAGCCTATTATAATCTCCCGATGATTCCGAGGATCGCGCCGTTTATTATTTATCCGATTTAATTAGTCGAGAGGAATGTGGTAATCGTGCGCGTTTTGCAGAGGGTGCCGGAATGGGTGAGAAGCATGGCACTACAGATCTTCGAAAATCGCATCATCGCGCAGAGCATTGCGTCCATCGTCGTGTTTTTAACGTTTATCACAGTACTATCGCCACTGGTAAGTAATCGTAATTTAATGTCCCTATTGCTTGCGTTTTATGTCAAATTTTGCTACTTAAATACTTATTGACAGCAATAACTTCTTCACGTTTTGTGAATAAAATGTCATTCTGATTATATGAAAAAATTTGCATTACTTTATTACTTTTGAGATTATTGATGCAAAAGCACGAAATTCGGAGTTTCAGAAATTCAAGCGAACAAAGCGTTGTTTAACGTTTGAACAAATTCAATGATTCAAGAATTTTAATATTTGGGAAACTGAAATATAAAATCCGTTAGTCTTATAAGACATTAATCATGCGTAATATTGAATATATGATTTATTCGTAACTTTAGTGAGCTTTCGGCATGCTTTCCTTTCTTTATCGTTTTCATTTTTTAAATCCAATAAGCGGTCTCACTCCGTTTGCTTCGGGCAACTCGTTATGTCAAAACTATACCGTGTAATTAGAACCTGCTGTGCTAAAACTTTCGGTGATAAATCGAAAGCGAGCGCGGAATAATATTTGCCGCAAACATTCCGCATGATTGAATTACAAACGGACGGAAAGAACATCGGTTATACAACAGATTGTACATTTATTGCGAGCGATCGAACGTTCTGAATAAAATAATGAAAAATAATGGCCAATCCGTGTCGTATTTTCTAACTGCAGATCACGCTGACCGGAAGTGAGGCTTGCATCAACAATGACACGTCGCCTTTCGCCGAAGATGAGAATCCCAGCGTAATGAGAGTACCAACAGAGAATACCGATGCCGCTGGCATCTGTGATTATATTCTTTTCTGCGACGTAAGTTAAATGTAAACATGATATCGGCGTTGAAAGATATTGGTTAAATGAGCCTTCGCTCGAGACCGCAAAGTTGTTGTAAAAGACTCGCGGATAATAAGAGATTAGAGGTGCTTCTTTCAAAAGAAGAGATTACACTTAGCTAACTGATGAGAAAAAAGCTGTGCAAGTCTAATGAACGCATAATCCTTTGATAAGATATTAGTATAATTCATGCAAAATTGATGTTAAATTCTAAACGATTAAAACGATTAAATTTTAGAAATTTATAACTGAGGAAAGCATTCGTTATTCTGACAATTCCATGAATAGAAGATTTTTGGTACGAGTAACTATAGAGAGATTATTACGAAACTACAAAGATCTACCGACTGACATTCCGCAACTATCACTGATTGCAGTTGTTTCCGGTTTTGGTGATGCTCGTGATGGTAACCTGTGCGGTGTATCAGATCTTAACATCGGTCTTTAAAGTAGCCGTTTTGAGCATCGTTGTGGCTTGTTATCTCGGGGTCAGCATTTACCAGGCACTAAATGAGGACGACGTCGAGCCTGCTGGAAGATGGTTGGCGGGAGTTCTAGTGGTTTTCTTCATGGCCTGCCTAGTAGCACACTCTCAGCACACAGAGGCGACCTACAGGTCGAACATTCGAACGTGCTTACACTTTAACATTTACGCCCTCCCGAAACTTACGCAACGTCAGCTCGTAGATACATCCCGAACTTGCACGTTATAAACCTTTGAGGCCCTCGTGGAATTTCCCACGAGAGCCTTCATCTCGTAGCGAACAATGTTGCTAATCGACGATCTCATGAACTGATTCCCGCAGAATAATTTCATAGTCGAGACAGGAGCCGCGTATATAATAGAGGCGCGAGTAAAATTATATATACTAGATATTTCATGAATAAATTTAAATTTTCGAAATCTAATTAAAACAAATATGTCACTGAAAAGATACGTATATCATGTGCAGATTTATGAAAATCTGCCAATTGCATGTACGCATTAAAGGAAAAATTCTAAAATCACAGATGTCAATATACTTCATAGAATATCTGGAAAACATAACTTTTTTGAGATATTTTTCATGGCAAATATAGGCGAGGAATATTGACGTGCACTGTGTACCAATACAGATTAGATTTCCTGTGGAAGTTGCAAGCGACCGAGGAGAAAGAAGAAATGGAACACTTGAAGGCCTACAACCAGAAACTGCTCGGGAATATACTTCCGGAACACGTGGCCGCCCATTTTCTCTCTACTGTTAATTCAGATGTAAGTTCTATCTAACAAAAAAATTCGAAGAAAATCTTTTAAAAATTTTTTACAATTTTTTAAGCGCATTAAGCATGAAACACAATAAATGATATTGTTACATATTACATCTCTGTGTCAAATAAAACAGTTTGAACATTTCATTGACCTATACGCGACCTATACCTGTACTAATTACCGATCGATTCTTTTGTACCCTGACGCGCGCTGACAAGTGCTCGACATACAATAGACATAAAGACAAAGATTAGGATATTCATAATATATTTTGACATTTCCTAGAAATGACGAGATTGTGTTATTACAGATTAAACAGAAATTTACAACTGGAAAACGGATGTATATAGAATAAAGTCTTATTATATATTTTAAAGTTCACTTCAATAAAGTTAATTGAGTTTCATCTTTCTTCCAAGCTTCGTGTCAACATTTTCATAAAAGCAGCATTTGTTTCTTCGCTTTTCCATTCTTCCTCTAATTAAATCGCAAATATATTAATCATTAATCCTAAACAATTTCATATGATAATCCTCAATTGCCGCATAAAGATTAGTTAGATATTGCATATTTAATATTGCATATTTAATATCGCATATTTATGAATCAATTAAGGATTACCCTTAAAGTTTCGAAATTTCACCCCAGCTGTACACATAAATTAAGACCACCTGACAACCGACGTGTTAAATCATTCAATCTCCAGATTCCAGACTGAATTTCAACAGTATATACCTATTTGCCTAATTAGTTTTGTCCTGTCTAAAAGCGATTCTAAATTTGATACATCAAGTTAGACCACATCAACCAGATATATATAGATTTCAATGCTACTCCTTAGAAATTCAGTCTTGACTTATTTCCATACAAAAGCCAAAACAATTAAAATAAACTTTTAGAGGAAAAAATTTTTTACACTAAAAGTTCAAAATTAAAATAATCAAAACAATTGTTCGAACATTATGACTATTTAACAGTGACAAAACTAATAAGATTTCCTCCAAAAATATCCGAATCTAGTCTGTAAAAGATTATCTAAACAGGAACATGTCCAAGACAATGATGTCGATTGTTTCGCAGGAATTATACCACGAACAATGCGACTTTGTGTGCATTATGTTCGCCTCGATACCAAATTTTTCCGAGTTCTACGTAGAGCTCGAAGCGAATAACGAGGGCGTGGAATGCCTCAGGCTTCTTAACGAAATCATCGCTGACTTCGACGAGTTACTCGCCGAGGAGCAATTTAAGTACATCGAGAAGATCAAGAGCACAGGCGCTACGTATATGGCCGCTTCGGGTACGTCTCTCGCCAAGTCTTAGCGATATCGTTATTCAACGAGCCTTTCGCCCGTTTGCCCCCATTTTCGTGCCATGAGCTTTTATACCGCTTTAGAAGAGAAGAGGCACTGCGTGTGCAATTAATCACTGAATCGATCGAATTTAATCGAATTAAATTTGATTCTTTTTAACCGATTTGGCGACTCGTAAATTCGCAAAAGCATGATAAAATATATATTATCTTCATTACATATCTCGATAACTAACTTTTAACTTATCTATTTATATATATTAATTAACTTATCACCACCGAATGTATTTCCGCATTAAATTCACGTCAAAAATTCCCTGTTTTAATTCTTGCAATCGAGTTTCTCTAGTACCATAAAGGCAGATCTAATTTCCCACGGCCACTTGATTTTTCGCGCAATTTCCTAACAATTTCCTAACAACGCGGACTCGTTACTCTAATTAGAACACTACGATCGGGACACCACTACCGCGCAAAGTTCACTCTTGTCTCTCTCTGTTGCTTTAGGCCTAACGAAAAGCACCTGCGACATGCGAGATTTCAAGCACGTAGTCGCTATGGCGGATTACGCCCTAAGAATCCGCGAGCAGCTGGCCTATGTCAATGTACACAGCTTTAATAACTTCCGCATGCGTGTGGGCATCAACATCGGACCGGTAATATTGAAGAACATGAAACGAGCAATTTTCGCGCGCTCAACCATTGCATCCTTTGTAAATAAATCATAAATTAGACTCTCTCAGCGACGAAACGTATAGAAGAGAATCCAAAAATATATTGAAAACTTGTGACAATAATAAATCGACAAAATTATATTTTTTATCAATTTTAATTAATTCAGATGTTTAATTTGATAAAATCAACTTGATAAAATTTGATACCAATTTCTCACAAATTTTAGTACATATTATTTATTATTAGTATATTCTAAAAAGCGCCTGTATTTTTTTTTCTTTTTTTTTATACAGAAGAGATGACTTAACTTTAATGTTCCTGCATTAAACGCGCAATTCTTCCGCGACGTTCTCTCTCGTAGCGCATCAAATTCTCATTAAATCGTCTGCATAGCACTTGAACCCAGCTGCGAGAAAGAAAATCTCGGTAAAGCTGTCGAGGATTTTCAAAGAAGAAAAGACTCAATACGCGACATGGATTGCGCAGGTGGTCGCTGGCGTGATCGGTGCCAGGAAACCGCAGTACGACATCTGGGGCAACGCCGTGAACGTGGCCTCCAGGATGGATTCTACGGGCGTGTTAGACGGGATTCAAGTCACCCAAGAGGTTCGCGATATTCTGATCACTAAAGGATATTCGCTCACGTGCCGCGGAACGATTCAAGTCAAGGGGAAGGGCAGTATGATAACTTACCTCCTGGACGGACCAAGGGACAACACCAACCCGATGGATGTCATCAAGACGAATTCCAATAACAATACCGACGCCACAGAGAAAACGGTTGTCAACAATAGCAGCGGGGCTATCTAATTGGTATTACTTATGCATTAAATCAATAGTTATATTAAAATGTTTTCCTAATATCTACTTCTCTATTTAAAAACAAAATTTATCATAAATCTTGACAGGCGATAAACAAATAACTCTATAATTTATAATATAACTTTATAATTTTTCTTGTGTTCAAATATCTTAATCAAATAATGACAACTAAATTATTTAGTTAAAATAGAAATAATAAATGCTGAAGATGGCTCAAAGGAAGAGCCGAAACGTTCGTTACATTTGAATACACGTCTTAAGTTTTATTACGCACTACGTCCCGCGTCTGACTCGCATTCGCCGTTTAAATCGTTGACATTTTCACGAGTCTAATTATATTATAGAAATAATAAAATAGCATAAAAATATCGCTAACGTTCGAAAGAAGAAAGTTATCTCGTAGTTAAACTTCAAAAATATTTATTCTTATTCTGATCGATTTGCTGAATACGTATGATGCATATTTGACGCAATTTACATTATGGCATCGCACAATCAACCGCATAATCTCGCGATAAATTTGAATTCGTGAAAGGAGAAGGAACGCAAAGGGGATTATTATCTTGGGTGGAGGAACAACCTGTAATACACGCGATCGCGAATATCTATCCAAAATATTCCGTAAATTGCTGCCGGAATAGGCGAATATTATACTTCACCGCGAGCCTCTCGCAACTTTTTTAACCGTACTTTCATCTTCTCCCTAATATACGTTAATTGATAGTTTAAAAATATCTTCATTTACTCTCCTCTTCTAAACTATCCATTTAATACATGCTATGTAATTTCATATTATTAAAAAGTTGTAAAAGTGCTGACACTTTTAAACATTTTATTTAAATCAATACTATTTTACAGCAAAGTATTTCAATTTATTAAAAAATAAGTTAAATTATTTTATTGGATTTTTCTAAATTTTTATTATCTTAAGTTTCAGCTTCGATAGTATATCGATTTGTTAAAATGTATGGCGTTTGTATAATTTGCGATACTATCTGTACACACCTTCCAGAATACATTCTTATTTCTTATTTCGATATCTCTTTCGATAAATATTATAAAAGCAAATTCTTAAAGGAGCAACTTACTACTGTCTACCGATATGCCTTTTTTCCAGATGCTATATACACATTTCGATTCATTATTTGATATTTACGTAATCCGTTAAAAATTTTCCGTCCCCGTGATGATCGCGCGTTTAGTCTTGTTAACATAAAGCTACCAATACATCAAGCTGCGACAATTCACCACGGAATTGAAGTGCTCCCATAGCTAGGGGGTTGTTATGTAACACTTTCAACCATGTCGTCGCATCTGACAAATACGCACTGGCGAGGACACGTGCACAATCAGTTGCACAACGGACATTTATTGCGCGAAAGCAGACCTCATTGTCATGAAAAATTTCCATTTTGTGCATGCGAAATGCTTCATATACGAGTAGCGAGCAAAAATTTTGTCTACCTAATGACAATGCATGCAGATTATTTATTAAATTAATTAATTAAATTAATAAAACGCATTTTAAATTAATTAGTAAAGAAAACGACAAAACGATAATTATAAAATCGACAGTTGAAAATTTAATTACAGGTATAGCATCGCGAAGTAAACAAACACAATGTATTTTATCGATATACTATCAAAACTGACAAAATTTAAGAAAGTCAATAAAATATATATTTTTATTACTTATTTATTACTAAACTGAATTTACTTTGTTATAAAAAATATAACGCAATCATGATTTTTCTACATTTATCTAGGTAATTTGTAAAATATTAATATAAATTTATAAGTGATATCACTCAGTCACGACGGGATTGTAATAAGTAATTAATTCTTGAAGAGTTAATTCTTCAAGAATTATAATTCACACAATTCAATCTTCTCTTATAAACGTAATCAAAGATTCAATTAATGTACAGTGTACCATAGAAAATTGAAACTTCCGCCAAACATTAATTTTAGGTTGCATACAAATATTTGAAGAAATTAAAAAGCTTTCGTAAAAAAATGGAAATCGTGCACGTATCCTTCCCAGACAAACTCGCATGTATTATAATTATTTTAAAAGTTTTACAAAGTAATTGCTGGATCGTTTCGATCGATCATTAATGAATTGATAATGTTGACAGGTGGGAATGCTCGAGCAAGAATTCGCGATGGACGACACGTCATATCGACGATAGAAAATATCAATTATTAATTTTCGCGCTATTTAAGACTTCTTCCATGTACTCAAGTCCAAAAACGGCAATATAATGTCCAGGGCACGTGTGCGCAAATTGGAGTCGTCGAGTGCCGTCCGTAAATCGACCGGGATGAACGGGATAATTGCGTCACTATAGTTTTAAGTCTCAAGACAAACGAAGCATAAACGACATTCACAGGAATAATCCTGGCATTTCGTTGCAGATTTCATGTGAATTACGCTTCTGGTTTGATCACGTATCGACTTTAATAAATTTAAGGAACTTTTTACGAGACTTATTGTTAGTTCATAGCAAATATAATTTAAAAAATGCTGGATTAAACGATATTTACTTTAAACAGTTTAGAAAAACATAAAAAACATTAATTAACCCTCGAAAGTCACACTGGGCTCTCACAAACTCCAACGAAATTTTGGAACTACGTTTGAGAAACTATCATTTATATTTTTTAACGAATATTTTTTGGTAATAATTTTTTTGACAAATTCTGAGATTACCATCATAATTCTAAGAACATTACAATACGTTGATTTTTTCGAAACTTATAAGCGAGAAATAGCTGATCCTACAGACCCCAGTGTGACTTACAAAAAATAAGTGTGGCCTGCGAGGATTAACAATGTTGGTTAACACAGCAAGAAAAACGTAATAGCATTTTAATATCGCAATTATTTTTTATAACTCATATAAATGTAATCAGTTATAAAAGAATATTCTTACTGATATATTTGAATCGGTTTACGCCATTTCGCGGAGAATTTAAAGCTGTCGATTACCAGAAGTTTAGCAACTGCAATTGTCAGCCAAATTCGAACTAAATGTGCAGCGAAATGCCGGATATCAGCCGAAAATATGAGGGTGGCGAGCGACAACTTGTCCTCCTGTGCATTCGTCGTACTTAAGCTGTTCTTGAACAATGCCTACAATGTATGTGATTGTGTGTTAAGTCTTTAGTTCTCTTGAATGCTAATCTAAAATCAATTAACGATGAGTTCCGCGATAATTACATTTACGGTAATCGATGTCTGAACAAACACATCGATCAGAAACACGGCGGTACTGTAGAAAATTTCTTTCGAGGATGAGCATACATGCTGATTAAGTGAAGTATTATATGTAGCAACAAGTCAATTTATACATAAGCTTAAATGTACGCACAATTATTTCATAAAGCAAGATAACTAAAATTCCTCATAATTTTACATTTAATCTTGTTTTCAAATTCTTTCACATGTCGTTATATTAGTTTTCAAATATTTAATTTTTTGCAAAGTTTATTTAAACAATAAGATTAGAAAGTTTTAATTTTGTATTACGCTAATATATAATATCTGAAATTACATTTTTTTCTATAATATTTCAAATAAGTAAATACTTTTCATAATATAATAATATGCTTTGACAGAAATAACTTTTAAAATAGAAAGGACACAAAGTATTCATTCTCATGACAATAAGAACGCCAACATCCTCGAAGAAATAAATACATTTAGCATCAAATGTGCAATATTTAATTTAAAAAACTCGGGCCAATAATGTGTCAAGTCATCCGCAGCAATTAAAAATAGCATCACAAATAATTTTATAATTTCATAAAATATCATTTGTAAAAAAAATTCATTTTTTCGTTTGTATGTTGTTAATTCGAAATTTTTTTTACTTTAGCATATAATTTGTAGAGAGATAGCTTGATTATTTTTAATAATTTCCAGATTAATTGCGATGCTTATAATCTTTCTCACGATGTGTCCAACGAGTTGGACGTATTCTAGTCAATATAAAGAGAGAAGACTCTCATGAATAGATATATAATCAGAAGCAAATTGGAAAAGGTTAACTTGATACAACGAAACCGTGGACGAACGAACTTCATATGTATAGACAGTTTGCTTTAATAAGAAAGGGACCACGGCGAGTTAATAATTATATTCTAGACTCAACAGTTGAATTGTAGCCGCTTCTAAGGATGTGATGTGACAGTTGTTTTTATTTTGTACTCTCGTCTACTGTTTGTAATTATAACAGTTGATATTAATATATTTTTAAATAAAAAGATAATTCTTGGTCACTAAAAATTGTTAATATTTTATATTTTAATAAACGAGAGAAAATTTACCTTTTACTTTAATATTAAATAATTTCAAAAATTATATTTCGGTAATGCAGTTAAATTTTTATTAAAACACGGAAGATAAAAAAAATTTGTATAAAAAATTACAAGTCATATTACTCATTCGAATTAAGAAAATGATAAAAATACAAAAAATTAATTTTAAAAATATTGAAGAATAAGTAATAAAAAAATTAATTCGGTTACTATTTTATTTCATCCATAACTGCGGAATGTATTGGAAACTATACTGCTAATTGTGTACTTTTTAGTATTCCAACTTGCAAATTTGCTGCAATCTCGTTCGTTATAATAATTTTTGAAATCGCAGATAATCTCATATATAAAGTATTTCTATCTCTTTCTATTGATACGAGGTTTGAATAGTGCCCATTCTTTTTGCAACCGCAGCTGCAATTCTACTTTGATTTCAGAATTTTGAAGGACCTCTAGCGTGAAAGTAAATTCATATAATTAAAAGAGTAAACTTTGGGCGGATGTAGGAGAGAACTGTAAACGTCGGACGAACGATTTTCTACACTAGCCAACTTCCCGGCAGAAAGTTAATGAAATTGCATGATGTTACCGTAGCGTCGACTAACCGACGAGTAATATTTTTTTCTCATCGATCCTAGCAACCTATAAAAGAACTTTCAAATAAGATATTCTATTTAATTTGATTACTACTTTATAAAAAAATCTACGAAAAATACTGAAAAACGCCGATTAATTGCCTTACCGGTCAATTTAATTAATTAAAATATTAGTTTAGTTGTATATAAAAATATCGTGATGCAATATTATAAAATAAAAAACGTGATATTAAATGCAAAAATAAAAGCCTTAATATAATGCAATTAATTATAAAAGAAACGAGAATGCAGGAAACAAACCATTTTCTCTTTTCTCCAAAAAAGAGTAAAGAGAAATCAACGCGGATTTGACCGACAAACGCGACAAAGCAACTGGTGCAGCTACAAACATCAAGAGAGATGAAAAGATAAATACTTCGTGGAATCTTAACAGAATAAATGGAATTTTCAACATTTCAATGCTTCAGCTATTCAGAAAATGATCTCCACGTTTATTCGCAATAGGAACGCAATAATGTAAATTCTTCCTTATTCGTGACGTCAATAACCGGATTCACCAAAATGATATCAAAATGATCAAGTTATCGCGCGCTACGATCTCTGACTCTGAGTATGTTTGTGTAGAAACTATCGATCGTCCGAATGTTACGCGCGAGTAGTTCGACGAAGACGTCGACGTCTCGCAATATTCAATGTCTTATAGATTAGATACATTTGCAAGTATGTAAATATGTATGTATGTATATGGGGCGCTTGTGTGCATATGTACAAACTTGGCCAAAGTGTATACATAGATATATGTTAATTGCGTTGATGTGCATCTACCGGCGCGGCGCGAGCTCTCGATCCTCTCGATCCAGAATATACATATCGATCTTCTTTGCGCTTAGGCAATCCTTCCCGAACGATAAGTAAAAAAAGAGCTATATTTGTTATAGAAAAAATAGTAGAGCACGATAAAAGATATTTTGATAAGTCTAATCAATTAACTTGACCGAATGATTAAATGGATGTCGTGTTTAACGAGCACATTATTTGATTCGTTGAATAATAAGTCATGTGTGAAAAATAATGTATCAAATCATGTCAAATTGAATTAAATGCAGTTTTCACAATCCAATTATGTATACGTGCTGCAGCGAATTTAACGCTCGACTAGAATGATCATCGATTAATACAATAACTGTATATAAGCAGATATATTGTATAAGGTACAAGTTGAATCTATGCTTTCATGAAAATTTCAATAGCGCTGGCAGGTCCAGCTAATATTAAATGTTGGTCAACAAAGCTAGTCAATTGTTAAAGCAAAAAATGTCGATTGAACCATGTTAATTAATGAGCATCAGATCATTTATGCTAAAATCGCCAACTTTTCTTTTGCTTCAAAGAGATTTTTCTTTTATCTAAAAACATATTTGATAATTATTAATTATCAAAGAAGTAAAGCATACGTTAGATAAATTTATAACAAACTTAAAGAATCGTTGTATTATAATAACAACACGGGATTTATTTAAATAAGTAGATATCTCTACTTTGATTAAAACAAAATTAGAATAATGCGAAATATTAATATATTAAAATTCTCAAATATTTCTCATAAATTATTTCATTTAATCGTTATGATATCGATCAATAGTATATTTTTATGTTAAACTACTTCACGATAAATTCCACGCGTAAAACTGTCGAGGTGAAGTCAGAGACAAATTATTCACGTTAACACTTATACAAATTACTGTGAATTGCACCGTATCGAAGTAATCGTGTAAGTTCTTACGCCATAAATCTGTCAGCTACATTTTTTACAGCCTAGAAGCTCATTAGAGTCAAAAAGTTAATCGTCCAAATAATGGCGATGGTCATTAACTGTCGACAAAATTTATGACTTTATTTTCATTTTTACAGCAAGACTCGAAAAACATCTCTTAAAGTTCAACAAAGATAATTAATTTTTCAATCTTTTTTAATAACTCGGATGTCAAACAAGCGAAATCTAGATTAGTTAAGATATAGCGTACGTCAAATGAGAAAATAGCTCATTGACAGTGTGTTAAAATATGTTGTAAGTGGTATTGTAGAAAGTATCTCATAAGAATCGAGGTGTATTGATCGATATTGAAAGAACAATCGCGATTGTTTCTTTTGACAAAAATTCCAGTATTCCCTTTCAAATTTCCCTACAATTTGCCTACGATAGGGAAGCGTGAGAACTTCGTCTACGGCGTCGATAAAATGTCGCGTTGATTTTAAAGTCAATATGTAACGATACGATCGGAAGACACCACTAACTGAAATTGAAAGTGCACGGGGTAGAACGAAAAATGTATTATTTATTATCACTCCGAGAAAAATATTTATGTAACTTTGATGGCCTAAAGTTTACTAACAAGACACATCAATATCATAGTCATAATTACGCGCCGTAATTAACACACTGATGATATAAAATAATTTTGTAACAAAACTAAACTGTCCAATACCTTTGTATCCTCCTCCCATTCTGATCTCCTACGATAAAATTATTTCTCAAAAATATAATTCGCAATTATATACCTAATCTTACATTGTGTTAATCTTCTGTTATCTTTATGTAATATAAATACAAATTTCCTCATTTATATATAGTTACTTAATTTACAATTTCGATCAAGATTTGTATACATTTATAGTGTATTTATTAAATATATTTTATATCTTTAATTTTTTTTTCCAAATAAATTTTGTTTTATTCTTGTAAAAATTGAATTAAGAGAGCACATTTCTAAGTATTGATGAATGATGTCCTCGAAATGTTCCTATATATCTCAAACTAGTTAGTTTTAGTCCTTTCTGTTGAAAGGACTTAGCAAAAAAGAAACCGGTTTTCTGACCTGACCTGCATTCTCACGGTTTCGCTATTATTCTCCTTGAGAATATCCAAACGGCAATTTAATACACAAATTATCGAATAGTCTAGTAGCATATAATTTTGACAAATGTAGATTTTATAAGTTAATATTATTTTATTGAAGCAATTTATTAAAATATATTAAAACTTTAAAAAAAATTTTTAAATATACAAAAATTGCTAGATATTTAATCATTAAATAAGACACATATAAATTTTAAAATATAATTTATAGAGTCATGCCCATTATATTTAGCTTCTTAAAAAAGTAACTAAGTTATTGAAAAAGAATTAGAAGAAGATATATCAAACTTCATACAAATCTACAAGGTAAAAATCTGTAAAGCAAAAAATTAATAAAATGTGAAAGAAAGTTCAACGATAATAACATTATAAATCCAACGATATGTTAGATTCTTTCAAATCTCCCACAAAAACTGAGGTTACTAAAGAAAATCAATACTTTACGTTACCCAACAAGTACCAACTGTATGTAGAGTTTACCACAAACTAGTGTTTTAAGAAGATAACTACTTGTTCCCAGTTAAAATAATAAACGAGATCGCGGAATAAGGTGACCAAAAGTAAAAAATCACCCTTGGAATCACCTACTATCGCCAGAAAAATTCTTTAAAATTAATTTCCCTGTATTTTCCATTCCACAAGATGTCGCCGGACTCGTTTTATCCGACAGGATGGCCGACCTGACGCTGTCGCAGTTATCGCAGTCGGCGACAGGGTATCGCGGACGCTAGGAATACTATGGTCGCTCACAAACGTATTTTTCGGAGTCGGTGTCGACCGATGATGCGCGAAGCGCGCAAGGCGCACGTTCTCGCGCTACAATGTCACGATGCGATCTCGCAACTCGCAACGTCCGGCGTCAGCGCGCACGTGTTCTACAGAACCCGAGGAGCTGATTACGTAAAATCGTCAGTGATAAAATATTTCGACTCGAGCCAGCGAATGGAGAACGGAGCCAGCGAGCGAACACGCGTAGCTCCAGTTTTACAGCGATTGCGTGTACGTTACCCACGTGCCGAGACGTTGCGCGCATATATTGTTGGAGCAGATGTGAACCACGTGCGCGGACGAAACGCTGACCGCATAACAGTTATCGCGTGAGTCTCAAACTGATTTATTAATGAATAATTTCGACAAAAGAGAATATCAAAATTTATTGGAGTTCAGTGAAAAAAATAGTAGTAGTGCAGCATTTCGAACCAACGATAACACATTTATTTTAATCTAAAAAACCTCGACTAGACTCTGTCGACTTCGTTTATTTTAATCACAGGAAACAATTAATAGAATTTTTAAAAAATTGTGACAATTATCTTATGCTTTTATATCTACACTGTTAAATCGATATAATAAATAAATTAAAAGCGCTACTTCGGATAATGTTCACACGTATCTGGTGGATTTACGTAATAGCGGTTGAATAGTGCAATGTGATATTCAATCAATTTACTATTTTCAGACAATGGTGCGTGTGATAAACAATTTTATATTATATTATCAGATAAACAGGAGCAATCACATATACTATTACTTTTTACGATATCTCAGAAATGATTTCGTAAAGCTAGATATCTAATTTTTAACATTCATGTTGCAACATCTAATTATCATCGTAAGTGTTGTGACATATCTTGCCGCAACGCTTACGATATTTTAATTTCTACGAACGAGTTCTACTTATTATGTCTACTTGATATGATTAACCCTCATTTGATGTACATATATATACACACCGACTAACAAGTCAACTTATTTGAATATTTAAACAAAAATAAAGTAATTATAAGCTCGTAAAAATAATAAAAGTTTTAAAATAGTAACGTAGATGAAAGGTTTAGTTTCAGTATTTATCATTTCTTAGGTTATCATGTATATTCTCCTGTAATTGTATCGGATATCGAAAACTTTCATATCAGTGAAACCGTATTTTTATGTTAAGCAAATTTGTAATACCGTACACCTGCTAACTTTTAATGCGTGTAATAATGAAATGTTAAAGTAAATATTAACATTTAGTTTAATTAACAATTTACTATTAGTAGAATATATTAATAAATATATTAATCAAAACATAGGAATATGCCTATGTCCATCGTTGATCGTAGTATTTTATGTGAATTATTACCTAATTATCCAAATAATCGCAAGAAAGATATGAAATTTTTAGAATAAAGAAAATTTTACTATGCCTTTAATGTTCTAAAATTTTGCGATAACGCGCGTAATTAAAGCCGACTTAATGCTGGCACACACAGATAAAGTATCCTATCGGCATATTATAAATTAACTCAGCGAGTATTTTGTGCGTTATAATTTGCAGACACATGCAGTAAAGTAATAGAGTGTGCAAGAATGACTATGTGTAACAGTTGAAAGCAAGGGCTGAAGAAATTCTCTTGTATCGAAGATCTTTAATTAAAAAAAAAAATGGATAAACCATCAGTAGCGATTGATAGCGATATGAAAACCGACGAGGTAAGTACAAGACGTTTTGATTTAAATTACGAGAATATCGTTTGATCCATCAATCCTGCTTTCTCTCTTCTAAAAACATTTTTATGATAAAAAAGAAAATTGAAAAGTTATTTCCCTCTTCATTCTGATAAAAAATATGTTTTAATATTTATGTATATTTCGTTTAATATAAACGCATTCTATTACATATGAGTTTAAGACACGATTTTAATATTAAAATATTTACACATTTCTCTCTAAGATAAAGATGTAAATTATTTATAATTTTTTCTCGTACAAACCAATACGATTAATTAAACAGTAGCAAGCTGCAGATTTCAATTTTTAATATTAAATATTTTTGCGACGTTTTTGTCAGAAAGACATCGCAATTTTCTACGAAAATATATTACTCCATTTTTTAATTAGCTATATAAATATCCCAGCGTAACATCAATTGAGTCTTTTGCTTCCTCGCAAAGGAAGCTTTGTTTTCGTAAATCTCGTATATGAACCTTTGGTCGCGTATATTATAAAAATTCTATTACTTTATAATCGTTTTATAACACGTTCAACATTTTTAAAACAGTGAAAATACGTTTACATTATTATCAATATATACATTGAAATTATTTGTCTTCTTTTATAATTAATTTAAAGAGAAAATAAAATAATTGTAAAGAAAATTATAATGCCGAAATACGTAAAGAACCTCATAAAAATATGTAGGGATTAAACAATAATAGTTAATATCAGTAAGTATTTTCTCGAGTATATATCTATGTATCTATTATCGTCACGAAACTTAAATCATTTAAATCGCGAACGCTGTTAATATTTCCTACTTACAATATTAGATATGACATTGAAGATAGGTTGAAAGATCATAATTATATAGTTATCACACAAACCATACTACATAAGATGAAAACAGTAACTCTACAAAACGCTGATATACTTTGTGTAATAGACTGCGTGATATGTGTTAGTGAACGTGTTTCAGTGTGTACACATTTACGTGATAGAGAATACATTTATATAAATCACTAGCTGATATTTAACAGCATTATAGTTATAATTACAATTTTCCAACTCTCTCTTTTACTTTTGTCGTAAGTTCTAAGAGATTGAAATTTATTCGCTAGTTTAAATTTTGTAAAAGGTAACCCTTTGCCGTTTAATTATACTCTATAAAACTTCATAATTTTACCATACGTTGCTAATAAACAAAGTTATCATCGGACTACGTGTTTTAATGTTCATTTTATAATTTCTAGGTGACACCACAAATGGAATCTTTCCGTGGAAACAGGATGTACTGCAGAAAATACTTCGGATGGGTAAAATATATATCAGTAGAGCCGACTATGTGGCTTTACATGATGGCATTTATGTTCACGTCAGTCGTCGAGCAAGACTTTTTTAGATATAAAGCATGTCGGGTGGATCACGGATACTCTGAAGAAATCTGTATGAAGCTAAACGATGATGATAATAAAGCGATAAAGACCAAAGTACAGGTAAAAATTATGTACTACATTTAAAATAAAAGAAAAAAGACGTAAAATGGGGAATAATACGCACATTATATGAACAAACTATCGGAGTTTAGTTTAACGGCTCGTGAACATGTTAAATTCGATCGAAGGGACTTGCTTATAGTGCATGTGCAAATATTTAGTGTAAGTCGCCAAAAATACAACCGGATGCTATCAAAGCAAACATATTTGTCGAACTAAATATTAACATGAGATACCTACGCAACGAAATGTGATACCGCAATGTTTATATGCGAAGCATGTAAGAGAATATATATTCAAACATATATCCGCGCATAATTTTATTTTATGAAAATTTATTGAAAACTTAAATAAAATGCCTAAACGCTAGTAAGCAATTTTACTGCGAACGCATAATAAATAAATTTATTCTGAATTCGGAGCGTTTTCGATGTCGATAATTGACTTTTATTCTTCAATTACGGTTTTATTAACAATAAGAAAAATTCATCTTGCAGATGACCGTCTCGGAATTTCATCAATGGAACGACATTGCCGGGCATGTAGTGCCTATTATCTTGGCAATGTTTTATGGCAACTGGAGCGACCGGCGAGGACGTAAATTGCCGCTCGTCCTCGGTTTGACGGGCAAATTGATTTACTCCTTCATGGTCGTGATCAATTCTATGATGAACACTTGGAATCTGAACATGGTAGTGTACACGGCAACCCTGCCGATGAGCCTACTGGGCGGCGACGTGGCAATCTTTGGCAGTTGCTTCGCGTACATGTCGGACATAAGCTCCGTGCAACAAAGAACTATGAGAATCACGATCTTAGATGTCGTTTATCTCAGCACTATGCCCTCGGGTAGGAACAAGTTTGCTCTAAAAAGTTTTATGCAAAGATATAATTATTATCAAAAAACTTCGGCGTGAAGTTAATTAAGGCAATCTCCGGACTTTCATATTGTTTAGATAAATACCGCTGCACATTTATTATACATTTTTTTTTCTATAAAGGATTTTTGAGCCGTTAAAATTCATGGATTGTCGATAGCATCATTGTTTTACCATTTTCATTCTGCGTATATGTTCGCGATTATATAAAAGCCTTTACAATTCAATGACGTAAAGTTTAAATAATCAATCATATTTTTTTTCGTTCGTAGGAGTTGCACTTGGATCTTATGTGTTTACTCATTTAGTCAACATGTCCTACACAATTATGTTCGCTATAAACGCGACTTTACTCTTGCTGGCGATTGTGTATTCGCTCGTGTGGCTAAAATGGCAAACGTCACCAAGGCAGCAACCACTTTCGGGCACCAACTGGCTGTTCGACTTCTTCGACACAAGACATGTCGCCACGACAATGCGAACGTTAGTGAAATCGAGACGCAATCATGGCAAATTGCACCTGTGGTTGCTTCTGCTCGCGATGTGTCTATATACATTCCAGAGAGACGAGAAACCGAAGAGTCAAATGTATACCTCACTAATCTTTAAGTGGAACGTGGTGGATTTTAGCAACTTTAAAACATTCCAATCGACTCTCTTCGTATTAGGTCAGTTTGACATAAACTTGATCCAAATTAATTGAATTGACTTTTCGCGAACCTCGCTATTAATCCACAATGCGTTCTGAATGTCGCGAGTGAAAGGAGAAATTTCTTATCGAAATCACGAGAACTTTCACTCCTGGTTAATTTATGGTCTTGATTATCAACGACAATAAAAAAATTACGATCCAATTGCGAGAAATTGAAACGATTCGCGATCGTGTAAAAAGCTCGGTTTTTCGTGTAAAAAAATAAACAAAAATAGATTATTGCTATGTCATTGGAAAAATTAGCCATTTTTCTTAAGTATTATTCTTGAATATCTGAATCTTCAATACTCGCATTTTTTATAATTATAAAAAACGTTTCGAATAAGTTCAGAACTAATAAATACTATCATATAATTTACAAGCAGCATAAATATTTTAAATGCTATTAGAAATACGAAGATATAAAGTATGAAATATTTAAAAGAATTTTATTCCAACAGCAATGCTCATTGGAGTGCCTATCATGAATAAATTAATAGGAATGAAGGACACTTTCATCGTAGCGGTTGGAGCAATAGCGCACGCAGCTGGAAGAATAGTATTTGTTTTAGCGGACCAGCCAAAATTGTTTTACGTGGGTCAGTAAGAGATGTTATATTTCTCTCAATCTACTATCAAATTCTTTCCAAATATTATATGGTGTCATTATCGAATCATTCAAACTTTTAATTAAAATATTATACGAATACTCAAATGACAAAATAACATTGACATTATTTTATAATAACAACTATCTTGCAGGTGCTGCTGTTGCTGCGTTAGGTCCCGTAGTAGCTCCGGTACTCAGATCTATGACCTCGAAACTTGTGCCCATAGAGGAACGAGGTGCGTGGCAATAATTATTACATCTATTTTTACACTTAGATTGAAATCAATTAAATCCCGATAAGTGTCAATACAGATATAGTTTTAGTTTTTGATGCTATAAACATAAAAAATACATACTTTATGCTAGAATTTGAATTTTCCCGAATAAGGAATATTACTTTCATGTCAAAATCGAATCTCATTTAATATCGATCTCAATTTCATGCCACAATAATAATTTTTCTTTTTTATTGTAACAAAAAAGAAACATAATCGTATTGTTTTAATTTTTTAGGAAAGGTATTCGCGATGCTTTCCGTATGCGATAACGCAGTACCGCTATTTAGCGGTACTTTATATTCTCAACTTTATAACGCTACGATAAAGACAGCACCGAGCTCTTTCTATTGGTTGACATTCGCCACGCAGATCGCCGTGCTCCTGTTAATTCTGTAAGTAAATTATAATTTTCCTAGACGACATTTTTTTCGTATATTATTTTTTCTCTTTATTAAAAATGTATTAAAGAATTGCGGCGTTTTGCTTAATCGCTTTCGAAATAATCTAATTTTACTGAATAATTATTTATTTCAGATTGATCCATTTTTCATCGTGGTCTAAGCACGCGACTGAGCAACAGGATTACATTGATGACGAGGCGGTAGCTCCATCTCTTTCAAATACAATCGAAGCTAACTCGTCGAGTAATGTAACGACCTAATCTTAGAAAGCATGTGATAAGATTGTAACCGCCTATACGTAAAGCATCAAAGGTCATCTCGTCAAAGACTGATGTTTCATCTTGTATATTAAAAGGAATAGTGTAAATACACAATACATTTACAATACTTAGAATTCATATAACAATCCACTTGAAATAAGCATAAACTTATCGATGTATTTTTAAGTATCGATCATGGTTAATATCTCAGGGAAAATAATATAAAATTATAATTTTGTTAATATAGCAATAAAGTAATTTTTAAAATAGTTTAGATATTTTTTTAGATATTCGTAAGTAATAAGATTTCAAAAGTATTTGAAGCATAATAATAGAAGATATATAAACTACAATTCAAAAAATATATAATATGTACATTATAATAAATACTCGCAAAAAATATTTAGATCGTTGTTAAGATGTTAGTATTATATATTTTTAATATAAAATAATTTTATACAAAATAATTAAATAATGTTATATTAAAAATAATCCTAAACGCAAAAATTGATTGCAAAACCATGAATTTAGAACTCGGCTGAGAATTGTTAAATTGCATAAGTGCATTTGTAATGCAACAATGCAACATCTATTATATCGATATAGTAGTATTATATATTATTAGATTTTATTAAATACTTCCTAGAATAGATTATATTTTTATATTACATTATTTTGCGTAGATATTTGTATTTATATTATTAGATTTAATTATTCTAAATTACTCTTGTATAATAAAACATCTGTTCCTGTAATTGTTGAACAGTGATAGATATATAATTACATATAATTCACATTTTTTCTTATCAATCACTTATTCATAACTCTTAGCGTAAAATCTGATTTTTATTGCATATTTTTATGCGACTCATCTTATTTTGAAAATTCCCGTACAATCACCCCTTTAAAACTACAAACGAAACTAGCGGCGATACAAACACGTACAAACGATTCCGAAACAGCACCCGTTAAGAACGGCGAAGATAATCATCGAAATTGAAAAACAAGTTATACGCAGAATTATTTAGCTGACGCGATTGATCGTGACGACAATTCGTTTTTCTGTTAAGTGTGCAAGTTTTACTAATAATAATTAAATGACTCATGAAACGATTGCGATTAAAAGTCACGTACGAAAACTACATTAACAAAGCGATGATGAATATGTGAGAATTCCAGATATTAGCATAGTTGATCTCGCATTTTATAAATCAAAACACACGCGTTTTAAAATAGATAATAGTATACTAAAATTTGTTTAAATTTAGCGCGTTTTTTTTATACATATAGAATGCTCCGATATTTATGTGATCGGTAAATTAAAATAAAATAAAGACAATAATTTTTAGACAATAATTCAATAGAAATTGTCTTTTATCGCAATTTTTTACATATTTGATATTAAATATCTTGTTAATCTTTTACCTAACTTTTTGCGAAGTTAAAATTTATTTCTAACTAATTTAGAAAATGATATTTCTCTTATCAGTCTTCAAAAAGAATTCGATTTACTGCGAGCTTCTAATTTTAAATCTTGACTCACGTTTCACTAAACTCTCTTAAAATTCTCTCAAAATAAAATTGTCTCCAACTTATTCAGAGGTTGTTAACGTAAAAAGCAATACCGGTAGGACTGGTTTTCGTGATTACGATTTGCATTTACACAATGTTTAAGACAATTCTAGGAAAACTACAATACTTATTAGTATTCAATGTGCGCGAACCACAAGCATGTCAAGGATTGTTGGCTAATTGTCATCGTTTAGAATTTTTGGTGCAGAGAATTATATACTCCAAGAACTGACTTCTGCGGACACAATTTCGAAAGAAAATAAAGTATTAAAAAGCGTCTGCAAATAAACTAACGATTCTTTAATGAGAGCATTTTTATGGATTAGTATTTCAGGTAACTAAAAATAAATTATATTTTTTTATTCTATACAAAAAATAAAAAATTTAATTCTGAAAAATAAACTATCACGATAAAACTATCAATATATATCAAATAAGCAACTTGTTTAATAGTTCGACTAATAAATTAATTTTTTTTTCAAGTCATTTACAAATATCATCTATCGTAGATAACATTTTGACAAATATCATATTAAAAAATATATTAAATCTATATTTATTTTATATTTTTTTATATGCGTGTAAATTCCTTATTCTTTTATACTTGTTTATGTAAATCTTTATTGGCCCATTTTTTACGTGTTATATGCATATATTATATCTACTCTTTAATAATAGTAACTGTAATCGTGACAATCACAACAACATAATGCTATATAGTTATTAATTTAAATCTGCTAACACTTTATTTCGCGTCGGCAATATGCAAATTTAATAATTAAATGAGGCCTTTTATTTCTAATTATACAACAATTGCTCTATTCTATAGTTATTCAACAATTGCTCGCATCACTGCGCACAGAAATATGGATTAACTCTTTGCCTTCCTCTTCCGCGATCTATGCAATGACGCGCATCTATCTGATTGAATGCTGCGCGCTAGCATGAATGAAAACGAACACCTGCTTGGTTTCTTGGACGGGAATTCCTTGGATAAGCACGACATACGGGTGATATCGCTTCTCACGTACATATATCCTGACCCAAATATCCACCTCTTAAAACCCACCGGTATAAAAAGTCTGCCAACGTTTAAAGATGCGTACTGTTTGTTTCGAGCATCACTTCATCAAGAGACATCCACGATCTCCAATATCATGGTAATATACAGTGTACGACAAACATTAGCGTTTTAAATTTGTCTGCGATAAGCTATATCTCGCCTTTAAAGCTTTGTTAAAAAATAAATGCAAAAATATAGATCATTTGTACGCAAATCTTATAATATTTCATTGAAAAATGGGGATTATAATCGTTCTCATCTCACATATTTAACACATTTAAAGATAGAGGACTCAATTTTATTAAGTCTGCGTATCGCGTACACAAAAAATAAATAATGAATAAATATAAGTTAATTAACTATATAATAAACACCGAGAGGAAGAGAGTTCTCCATGCAATCAATTTAAAAAGCAGAAATACGATTGATATCAATATTTCCATCACAATCCATGTTACAGCATTTCCAGCATAACTTTCATAAATTATAATTCATATCGAGCTCTTGATCTATCGCCTCCATTAATATCAAATTGCGGGTTTTACGCGCAAACATCACAGCGGAAAATCACAGCGACGCGGGCGATTGCGGCAATAAAAAAAAGATCAAGTCGGATGATGTATTATTCACGGAGGTAACTCGATTGTCAATCGTCAGTTTCTATCGAACTTACTTGCAAATTAAGTAAGATCGTTCGGTTTTCTCTTTCCGGGTGCGCGGTTTATTCCAACGCAAATTACGTCGCGGACGATTTCTGCATTCGAACGACTAGCCATCACAACATTACCATCACGCATTACCATATCACAAAGCTTATTGACGATAACATGCCACATGTTAAAAAATTCACGTTGTGTACCCGCTATTATTTTAATCAAATTAAGTATTCCGCATTCTCACGCGAAAATGTGGTTTCCAATAACAAACATAAATGATGACCATGATTAGTGCAGCAATTTATGGATGGCGTGGTTTGAGATAAAATAATTTTTTTCGAATGTATTACTTGTCTGTTTGCTGATAAGAAATTTAAAAAAGCTATATCGACTATTTCTATATCGACTATTTTTGTAATAATATCCTATTTAAATAAAGGAAGCGGCTATAAAATTTCAGGAAAACGTGCAAGAATAAATAATGTTATATTCCACTGTACTTTCATATTATATATCAAATTTGATATATAAAATTCTTTATACATTATCAGATTGCACATAACATACGGAAATAGATCTATCATATCTATTTTAACCATTTTCAAGTTACAACTAAACTAAATAATCTTGTCTTAGCAACGACAGTTTATAAATCCGTGACAAATCCCCGTTCAACTGCTTTTGCAATACGATCTAATTGAAAGTGGAGACACACTATAAATATTGCATTATATTATGTGGCTTATTTATCCTTCAAACTGACACAGTTTGCGTAGCTCAAATAGTCATAGAGAAAGTAACGTTCTGTCCACGGTGCTTTTTATCTTGCATCAATGAGTAGCAATTTAAACGATCGGTAAGAGTAAAAGTTCACCATCAGAATCCCTGGCGGGAAACAAATTTTTGTCCCGACACTTGCACATGCAATGAAACAAAGTGCAAAAGTGCCATATTAAGAATTGTCCTAATTGTCTATCAACTATAGCAGAAAAACAGGTAGAACTAGTTGGTTGGTTAGATCATATTTCAGGCTAAATTGTGGCAAAATGTTACAAAATGTTCGAATGGTTTAAACTGCAAAAATAAGAGTATTCTTACTACTACCTCGATAGAGATCGTAAATAATATATAAGCAATAATTATTGTTCCTATTATAGAAGTCTCCAACAGCAACATTTCATATCAATAATGTTAAAAAATTTTTTAAACACCATAAATTGGATTGTTGCGTGTAAAGTACGTGTAAAACTTCGAATCGCCATTAAAAGTGTGTATTTGAAATGATGCATTTCCACTTCCAGATCTCGCTAAGAAAAGTCGTTATCGTTGTGGCAGCTTTAATAGCCCTCGCTGCGTTCGCGCACGCGATACCGACTCCCGGCCCAATTGCATCTGGAGCTATTACGATCTACCCGATACCTCAAAGGCCGCCCTACGCACCGAACCCTTGGATCTACCCGAAACCCACCACGGTGCAACCTGCAGGACGCTAAAAACCAATCCCGTCCTCTTTCGGCTCGCAAACTCGCTAACCTATTTTTTATTAAGCAATGACTTGAACAACTTGAATAATAAACGTGCACTTCTTTTCATCTCAAAATCGTCAGTTACAAACATGCAATTAAAATCGATAATTTGACAAATAACTGAGAATTATTCATTTATGAGGAATATGGCAAATATCCGTTAAATATTCGAGATGAAATCATACTAATAACTGATTAATTGTCACTTTGATTAGTATCACCGGTATAAAGTGAGTTATGTCGCAAAATTATAAAAGTCTATATTACATTATATTACGATTATGAATGTATTGTTATAAATTAAATATCGTTACTTAATCATTCTTGCTAAGAAATTAAATGTTGATACAAAGACATTTACGAAGATACGAATTAGAGCTAGATATGTTAAATTCAGAATATGTGGATATATGTATTATTAAGATTAATGTAATTTTTTATATATCAATAAATATATACATATATATTCCTTAAACTTCTATCACTCTTATGTTATTTCTTTTGTTAAATTTGTAATTAATATCGTAATTTTCTATATTTTATTCTGAATTTAAGTAAAAACTCTATACCAGGTTGTCGACGGCTCATATTATTCTAAAGGTCTTGCAGTGATAATATTCCACTAAAAAAAGAATTCACTTGTACGTCGATAAAAGAAGGTTCTTAACTATTTAGATGCGTACGTTTTTCTTCCCAAGATAATAGCTTTTGAACTATTCTGGTTAAGATGCTATGGAGATGTTTATTCGAGATAGAGGGCCACAGGTCGCTGTGCCGGCTGATGCCGATAACAATGCACATCACGTAGGCGTCTCGTGCACGTAAAGTCGCTTAACGAGTAAAGTACTTTTGCACCCGTCCGTTCCTTTTTTTTCCGACATCTCCGTGACGTCTATTGTGGCAATTTACCTTTCGTATCTTCCACCGTATACATCGACCGAGTGTATGCATGTGTATGCAGTCGCGCGCTTCTACGTACTTCCGCGTTCACATGACCTGGTTAATCGAAGATCTCGCGAACGAGTGAAAGGGCCTCTCGGACCCGATTACGAAAAATTCTCGATTCTTTGTATATTTATGTATAACTTGATTTTTACCATATCATTAATCCGCCAATTATTCAAAATGCCAACATTATAAGTACGCTGTTATATATCAAATAAAACTTTAATAATATAATTTCTCTACGCTTCACATCATTCGCAGAGAGTTGCATAATGCAACTGACGTCAGTTTATAATTAATTCAAAGAGAAGAATACCAAAGCTGTCGCGATTCATTAATCAATCACTAATTGCAAAATAAAATATAAATAATTAAATACTTGAATTAAATATCAAATACATATTTTGTTTATGCTACCGAGAATAATTTTTACAAATGTAAAAAATAAAATTGTTTCCGTCTGAAACACGTGTTGCACACAGTTACGTCACATTTGTTCTGACACATTTTCGTGAGAGACCGAGAGTGGCAATCGCTTGCATTCATGGAGGAGCGAATTAAAACTCGCTACAGCTCGTTAATCCAGTTACACGCCGTAATAGTGCACGCGGAAGCAACGAACAAAAACGTTATTCAATATCGGCCTAAAAAGAGAAAATATAATCACAGTTTGAGCTCGCAGCGTGACGGTCGACGATTCCTTCGCACAAACGTTTTCACGGTAAAGTTGCAACGAAATGTCAATATTCGTACAAGTGCAAGGTCGACCATATAAAATCCTACATAATTTTTAAAATCCTAACATAATATTCAAAAACTAAAATATTTATAATAATGTATTCATATATTATATATTTTTTCATTAATAATGTTTAGCAAAACAAAGTATTTTTATATTACGCGTATATTTTTATTCGTATCCTACAATTCGATGATAACAAATAAATCATTCGTACTAACGCTCATATAGACGCTTTTCAGTAATAACCAATCTTTATCATCTCAATTTGAACTATTTTGCGTGATCACAGCAATCTGCATGCTGAACCGTAACACCATCATGTAAGAGTATATATATAGACCTTCACTTTCGCACATGAGTTGTACACAGGGTGTCCGTAATTAACGCGCAATATCTTATTGTTGTAACAATATATCCTAAAGATTAGCAAAAATTATTCAATCATTTTTTATCACCTTTTCGTTTGTGAGATTATCTCCTACATTATTCTATTCTACCATATAAATCAATAATATTCAAAAAATGTAATGAATTAACTTTCGTAAGTTTCAAGTACTCATTTAAGTGCATTCTCGTACGCACGATAAATTAATAAACAAAATAAATAAATGTAAAATATTTCAGAATTAAATATTTATTCTAATCCGTAATAACCCATCCATTTTAAATTATATACAGATCTATGAGATGCCATATCTATCTATAATACTTTTATCTTATTAATTTCGTAAATATTTCTAAACTTTTCAATCATATATCAATTTTTTTCACAGATCTGTTACCACAATACAAAATAAAAAATAATTTAAAACTCACTGATACGATACGCATAGCAGCGCGCGGAGTTGTAGATGCTATAATTTGAATACAACATTTGTGTATGTTACGTTGCTCTGTAACATACACAAATGTAGAACTCAAATTATAGCGGTAAACAAAAAAAGTTAAAATTTGAAAAAATAATTATAAACAAACTATTTACTTTATGGTTGCTCCACCGCAACCCGATGCCTCTTATATAAACCTCTTAAACGTCCTTCTTCTCCTCTGAGGTTCGTTGCACTCACAGTTCACACAACACTTGCGAAAATACGGTTAATTGCAATCGCTAATTATCGAATACGATAAAGAATACAATAATCGCGCGACATTTTCGATATTAATTACACGCAACGCGCATTTTATTACATAACGATGAAAAACTAATGTGAGAAAAGTACAATAACTCAAGCTGTTCCAAATCCATGACGCATATTTGCGCATCAAACGAATCAGCGGAATGATTTTAACAAATCAGCGATATATCATGCGGAAATGGCATCGACAACTTCAATCTGATACTGGGCGATAAATAAAGTCGAGTTGAGATAGCCAGTTAAGCAATGTCCAAAAATGTGTAATCAAAATTCAATATTGCACGCACATATTTTGCACGTGTAAATCTCGCGAAACATACGGGCTATTATTTACGAATGATCAATACGTTACGGCTTTCCTTCATTTCAACCGTTCGATTTGGCTATTCCTGTATCACTCCGCGCTCTTAATTTCGAAAATAGTGGATAAATTACAGAATCGCTGAAAAAACTGGAACAGCGCGACGCGAGACATATTCGCAGATTTAAAGAGATAATTATTGTAAATGACGCAACGAAACTATAATTTCTATCTCTCCTATACCGTTCCAATCTCTACTTCAAAAGGATAAATCGCGCGGAATATCTGCCTCGCGGTAATCGCTTCCATACGTTCAGCGCGAATCGCGAATCGTAAGAGCTAATCAAATGCGTGACTTGATAATTGATAATTATTCACGGAAAATGAGCGCATCCTCTCCATGATATTTGTCAGTATTGTGCACCAAAAGATAATGCCACGAATCTCGCTGCCGGCTCGAATGTAGCGGTGCGAAATGATAATACGGCTACCTCCTGCCCGGACGCGGGCCTACGCGCTCCAGCTCGCTGAGTTACAACAACAAAAAATGTACACAATACGCTTATAACCCGCAACATTTGCCACACGTATTGCCACAAAATATTTAACGCGCCGCGCTGTGAAATGTATGTTGAATATTCAGTTCTTTACGTTACAGATTAATTTCGATGAATAGCATTACGTATTGTATAGGATATTTCACGCGTCGTTTTGTGAACTCGGTTTCGCCTGATGTAACGATTAATTCGAACATTTTAAAAGCCTAGAGATATTATCGTACATTAAATTCTTATTTAACAAATATGCTGCAAATTGCAATGTACGTAATATATAATAAAATAGAACTGCAATACACAAATACCTATATATTCACGCGTTATTAAATACATTTAGATGATTTATAATTCGCGTCAAACTTTAAGATAAAATTCTATTTGTAATTTTACACGTGCCATAATATACGAAAAATATTAGAAAATCAAAATACACGTATATATGATATAATTAATATAATATACGCATATAACAAAATACAGTGTATAAAATTGTAAATATAATTTTATCCTAAAATCTGACGAAAATTACAAGTCGTCGAAAGCAAGCTTTACACGCAAATTATTTTATGCTTCCTTTTTAATAAAAAAAATGTGAATAATTAATTTATTGCTTCATTTAAAAAGAATTATTAATTAAAAAAAAGATTAAATAATCTAAATATATAACCATAAAAAATTTGTTGTTAATCAACTCACAACAGCTAATTGCTATAGTATACCTATGGTACTTACCTATGCAGAAAAAAGTAAAAAGCAAAATCAGCTGAGTATTAAAATTTGTTGTAAAAATTAATAGCATCTGACAAATCGTTACACAAATATGCGTAGATTATAGGTTTGAACTATACTGATCGTTATTAGCCAATTTACAACTCAAAAACTACCATAACCCCGATATTTTCGTATATCGATTAACTCTTTCGATTTTAATTAATTTCTAAGTATGCAATTAAGATATTATACGATAATTATGGGACACCCTGTATACATACATATAAATCGAATTGGCGTGATCCTTGGAATCCGTAATACATGAACACGCTAATAATAGATTCCTATTCACGTATGCCACAGGATAATTCACATCGCGTGGAAGCATATCCATGCACTGTGAGAGCAGGAAAAGCATTTTATTCAGATAAATATACGTTGAGTGGTGACCATAAGAAAATCACATATGTAGTGATATGCGTCTGATTTCACCGTCGATTTCAGCGTCGGTCAACTTTAGTCCCAGTTTAAATGATCTTCCATCTCTTTTTAATTCTATCTCTCAACAAAACCGGTCATCAATTTTGTAATAATATATACACGAGACTGAAAGTTGCGCCATTGGATCATGTGTTCTTTTTGTGTATGTTTGGCCACCTAATCAACAAGCCAGATTGATTCATAAGATACCTACTTAATCGTGCGACTCTTCATAAATATTGATATTGATAAAGAGCAACGATCGCTGCTAGCAATGAAACTATCGATATATATCTGCATCCATTTTTTTTTTTTTAAGATAACGTATAAATTACGTTTGTCCGTCAACTAAAAATTTCATAAACAATTGTAAGAGGTTTGAGCACGTGTAAATATTTTAAATTATACTATATTTTACAACAAATATTACGTTTTATTGTAAATAAATTGCAAGTTGAGAATTCTACTGATATTCGCGCAAAATTCATTAAAAAGTTCTAAAGGCTACTGCAATTGTTCAATAACAGAGATCTGTCCTGCTCGAAGCGATCATCGGAGTTCATTTCGGCGCAAGGAGCTGAACCGAGCGTGTAAACTGCGATGCGAACGGCGCTCCCGTGTGCGTGTACGAGCGCTCACTTTCGCTGGACACGCTCGCACTTCTACATACGCACGTGTACGCGTGTACAAGCAGGAGCGGCGGTGACTCGTGCAGCAGCAAACGCTACCGGCGCAACGACGGTTTTTCATCTTGTCAGTCAGCCTTCCTGCTCCCACGAGAGCAGATCGATCGGCCTCTTTTTCCGCGTTCTTCGCGTTTTCCGCGACGATCTTATCTACGAAGCTGTAACACGCGAGCGATGAAGTGCCGTGTAACGAGCCGAGTCCCGACGATGATACGCATCGCCCTCGTGGTCGGAGTGGCGGTGGTGCACGCGTCGCCGGCCGAGCCCTTGCCCTCAAGCCTGCTCGGTGGAATCGGTAACGTCGCGAATACCGCAACCAATTTTCGTAAGTCGATCTCGCGATGTCAGTCGCTCGATATCGCCAAGTTTTGTTTATTTTTAGAGTATTTTATGTATTTACAGAAATATTAGCAAACGTTTAAAAAATATTAAAATAAAGATTTTTTTTTAAATCAATAATTAGTATCTTCTATCTTTATAAGGTAAATTTATAAAGTAAAAATATAAAAACTGAGATACGCGGTAAAATCAATATAAAAATAAATTATATTTCTGCAGCTTCGATAATAAAAATCTGTATTTAAACTTAATTCAGTTTAAACTGCTGCTTGTAATGGATTAATTCATTTCACGATACAATCGTGTCATGAAAGCTGTACAAAATATTTAAATAAAAATTACATTAATTAAAATGTGGATCTTTATAAATGTAATTCATATTAATAATTAATACTGACATAAATAAATAGTGATAATTAATGTATATAATTATATATTGTGCGTATTTATATAATTAAGTAATATAGAAATTGTATAGCGAAATGTGTACAATGGATTTGATGTAAACAACTAAAAAATATTGCAACTTATAACATTTAATTTCAGATTTGTCAAGTAATTGACATCTTCGTAATTTTATGTCATGCGTAACTTAAATTGAGTATTCGACGGAAAATGTAATAAGGATTATTTATTTATTTTGATGATGAGAGAAGTTGCTTTGATAGTTTCGTAATTCTCGTCGAAACCATGTCGAGTTGGCTCATTTAATATGCCAATCGAAAACTGATTAATTCGAAATTGAATTTCTTCAGGTTTAAAATTTAAACGTTATATGCTATATCTAGCTATATGTGATCTAAATTGTGAACATTAGACAATTAAATCTATAAACAACTTTAAAGAGAGAATTTAGATGTCGTAATAAATAACTACACTTGAATACAGAAGCGCTGTATCACCAGAGCGTCCAATGAAAGTGAAAACGTAAATACAGCGATACAACGGTATCAATTAAGGATGAGGCGATGGATGGAAAGTTTAAGTAGGCAGATGTTAGATAACGATATTAGAGAGCTCTGGTAAGGCCTTTCCTCGCTGAGCGGCAGTTGAAAGTATTTGATTGATAGAAATAAGACATGAAGGTAATCTTTGAATCGTCATACCATTTAAATAACTTCTAAATCGGAATCACGTAACCCGCAAGAGTTTTCTAAATATCGCCGTTAATTCGCTACTAATTTGCATAAATAGTTTGCAGAAATTAATGCGAAATTTATTGTAGCACGCAGTGACCTAAATTTTTAATCGAATGCAAAATAAATTATATAGCTATCACATTAATCCAATTCGATTGACCCCTTAGATAATAATTCATGCACACGTCTCATGCAAAATGATAAATGCTTCGTACTGACATGACGTGTCTGTGTAAAAATGCAAAATGCAAATTGCATTAACAAACGCTTCAAGGCAGGATATGATAAAGGCATTCGCGATAACTGTACAACGTTAATATAAACATTCAAGATGACATTACGATATTATATAATTACTTATTGTTAGAAAATAGCCCTAGTTCAAATGTATAGATAAACTCTCGATCTTTATACTGACTGTCGTGTCGATTTCGTATCAAAGGTCATAAATTACGAGCATTAAGATATGCTATAAATATAAAATTATGCTTGCGTGCAAATACAAAATATATCTAAATATAAACATTGTCTCGCGCGAAAAATTTATTATCTCCAACAATGAGACGTTCTAACTAACGTTGCAGTCTCAAGTAGGTGAAATTAAGTTCTATTAATTAATTCAAAGTAAATAAGAAGAAATACTTCAAACAACAACCGATTATTATTTCGATAAAGATAAATCAAATTCGGATTAAATTGATAACAAAAGCTATCAAAGAATTCAAAGAACATCGTTGTTTGGTCACGAACTGCTAGCGTTGAAAAATAAACGTATTAGCGTGTTTGCTCGCGGAAGCAATGATGATTCATAATCAGATTTGTTATGCAGAATGTTTCACACGCATACGGAATAAAAATATCGGCTGATGGCGTGGGATTTCTACAATGTATTAGATTGACGAAAGATGCTTTTTATTCGTTAACGTCAGCGTTAGTCATACTTGCAGTGTACTTTGCAGATGCAGCTATTTCGCACATTGCCACGTTGAATTCATAATGATAGAGATTATATACGTGCGTCATTAATCTGCGTCGTGACTTTTATTCGCCAAAATGCCAAAAAAACTACATAATCACATAACAATTTCATTGCTTCTTTGTAATACCTCAGTCGAAACTCTTGTCCATAATAACCGTTCAATATAAGCGATGTATTATTCAATATCCGTTAGAGATTTATATATATATATATATATATATATAATAGAGGGTATATACAGTTTAAACATGTTTTCTTCCAATTTGTTTTTAAGTCAAATTACTTTTGCCAATGGGTATTAAGATGCCAATTAAAATGGTTTATTTGATCGTCGACAACACATATCACTTATTAAACTAAAATTATTTCTGTTAGTAATGTTCTATTACATCATCACATAAGCGCGTTAAAAACAAAACTGAAAAATAAAACGCGCGATTTTTACATGGAACGCTAATATTATACATCGATCAAAGCGTAGCAAATCAAACGTAACGGATTTGTAACTGTTAAACCGCAAAAAAACCGTTGAAACTTTTTACGTTCCATTGGATCCGGTCGAATTCGGCGGAGCGCAATCACTTTATTCGATAAATACTTTTTCACATAATGCACTATTGTAAGCTGCAGTAAATACATTACGTATTAGAGCTCTTTTGTTATTACAATGGAACAAAATCCCTGCTTAAAATTCGATTAATCATTTAATTACCATACCAGAACCGCAGAATACATGCATTTAACATATACAATTCTCGATTAGAAAGCCGATTCCCGGGCTAAAATTCCTTTGTTGTTACGGTAAAACAAAACTCCTGCTTGAAATTTCATTAATCATTTAATTACCGTATCAGAACCACCTGATATATTTAACAGGTTCGGCTAAAAGCCCGATTCACGGATTCATGATAGTCGATCTTCGCATCCGCAATCAGTGCTCCGCCGACAAACGGTTTAATTAACGCGTGCGAATAAAGGCGCCTTGAGGGTTGATTGCTAAATGCAACGTGCACGAAGCTCACGAACATCCTCTATGTTGCATGATAGGCATTAATATCAAAGTAAAAGCATTCATGTGATTTAAAATATAATTTATCTTTGGATACGGGGAGAAAATAGAGAAAAGCGCGATCATGAGAAATACAAGATATATAAAACATATTTGAAATATCATGCATTTATACGATATCATCGGATATCATAATTTATGCTTACGTTAATGACGCATCGAGGATTTAAAAGAAAGCTATAAATTGCGCATCTCACTCTTTGAGAAAAAGATTCTTCTCTTATTAAAAAAAGCTAATTTTAAACATATTATTTGATGAATCCTTAACACAAATATGTCACGCGGAAATCATATATTGTTCTTAATTAATTTTTTTTTTTTTAACGTAATAGTTTACATTGTATTATGCGGAATTATTAATTATTGCATTTTGGTGAAAATTGTTATTAATCACTTATGTATCATTACCGCATAAAGTTCTAATTATGGTTTCAACCATTGATTAATCGGTTTTGTCTTGGTAGAATGCCTCGTTGACTTGTAATCGTTTGTTACAGTAACGGGAGTCGTGCAACGGCAAAAAGAACTATTGCATCGCGTTACGGATGTTGCCGCGGACTACAGTATGTGTTCGCATAAATTGCAATGTTTATTCAAAAGCTTATGCATCCTCTTTACGCTTAGTATGGCTTCAGCGCAGCTTTAAAAAACAAAAGCAAAAAAGGACAGCTTATCAAAATTTGCAAATGCTTACGCATATAGCTGTATTTATAAAAGAAACAATGTTGAAATATGCTTTTATTTGAAGACTTCTTATATAGGATCCAACCATTCTTTATTTCCTTAATGTATTACTATTGGCAATTATTTATTTATTATATTATTATTTATATAAATTACATAATGGGTTTAATTAGGAAAAAATCCATTTTTTTGTATATTGGCAAATACTTGAATTTAATTTCTCAAATTTAATTCAAATTTTTAAAAATTAAAAGTAAAAATCTTGATTTCTACGCCGTTATATAAAAAATAAAAAAATATGTGTAACAATTTATAACACATTTTTTTAAATATTTTTCTGTGGAAGCACGTGGAAATTAATTTTATATATTATTTATCACTTTGTAAAATTTATATATTCAATTATCTGAATCTCTCGAGAGATCGCAATGTAAACGAGACCATGTTAAAAGGCGACTAATATCACTTCCGCAAAGCGTTGAAGAACGTAATTCGCGTTAACGTAAACTCCCGAGCGCGCATGGAGTCGACAAGCTCAGAGATGTAAATATGCAGACGTCTAGCAGAGAAATACAGTAACACAGTAATTCAATTGGTAATAACACGACGTGGCACGGCGCTTTTGAGTGAGAAGAGATTGCGTTTCTCTTTATTACGAAGTGATACGCTATTTGTAATTGTATTACAGAAGCTCGTGACCTAGATCGCTTCTTAATTCCTTTTTGAGTAAACGGTATCGAGTCGCTTCGTTTATGGCGCTCTCAAATATTCACGATCAAATTGTACGTTACGAACTTTACTTAGCAACTTTGACAGGATCGTTAACGGGAAAAGACAAGAACAATCAACTCGCAAACAATCTAAATAATAAAAGTTTTAATAAATTAAATTTGTATAATTATAATTAGGATAATTTGCATTTATAAATTAAGTTTGAAAAATTGTGCACAAAAATATATGCAGACACTCGGAATAATTAACGGACATATTCCTTCCTCGATGGAAAACAACTGCAATGCTATCTTAATCTACGACCCGAGAATTGCAACCGTCAATTATGAGATTAAAAGAGTAGCAACGTAATTCAAATAATTAATAACACATTATCACTCGTGATACTTATTTTAAATTTTTTTCTATAATGTATCACGCCGAAGTATAGAGTGCTAGAGGCAAACAACAATATAATAAATGTTTCAATGAACTCACGGAGTAAATTAGAAGTTTCCCAACGTATTTCAATATTCTATTTAAATGTAAATAGTAGATGTCAAAGACCGAGAAGATTACGCTCAGGAAACATCAAAATGCTGATTAATTAACGATCTCATTATGTTGCGCTTGAAACTATTTCCGCGCTTCTATCTTCGATCTTTCAATCCTGAGAAACCTGTATATTTTGATTGAATAATTCTTGGCACGTCAATCCGTTTTCGTGATTTTGATATATACCATGTATGATATATATCAAATTATATATAATTTAAATTATAATAAATTTAATTATAATGTATTTTTCTTTTTTAATAATAATTTAAAAATTTACATTTTGTATTTGTTTTATAATAAACTTAATATTGATTAATCTCAAAACGCAAGTTTCTATTGCATTCAAAAGTACACAAATAATTTCTACATTTCGACAATAAATAATTTTTTGACAAATACTAGCATAAAATATGAGATTTTGTTTATTTTTCTTATTTTCGTTTATTTTTCTATATATTCTTTCCAAAACATTAAAAATTAATTTCTCTTTTAAGAAAGTAATAATTCGTTCTTCCATAAAATTAATAAAATTACTTCCGTTTATGCAATATATTCTAAACACGCATGATTTATATATAATATTTATATCGTTAAATTAAAGACCCACAGAATATGCCTTAATATATTAATTTGTTTTCTATTATGAGATTAAATAAAGCTCGTCGTTTCACGCAACATGTATAATTTTGCATGTGTATATAAATAATAAAACGCGGAAATGACACGCAACACACAGGAAGCTCGGTTCTCGCAGCATTGAAAGAGTTAATACCTAAGCAGCGGCAATAACAAGCAAGCGCAATAAGATAAACGAGATAAACGGGAATGCAAATAATAAAGAGAGAAACACTTTCGTCTTTTGATTGCAGTAACCAGTGCGGTGGAGAAGCCGAGAAATTTATTGCTCAACGCTACCAGAGTGACAACTGGATATAGTAAGTGTCGCGCAAATACAATATCATATATTTATAATTATTCGCGTTTAATAGTGCGTTACTAATTGTCGAATCGCACAGTTGACAATGCAGCCTCAAGGGGTCTCGAGTTCAAGCTGAGAAGATTCCTAGAGAAATTCCGAACTCGGATGCGCAACGGTATCCCGGAGCTAGGTATACCTCCGCTGGAGCCATTCACGCTCGACGAGATCGACATCGATACGGATAACCCAGAAATCGGAAAGTGAGTCGATAGATACATATGCGGCCGTGTACACCGGATTCCAGAGATTATAAAAAATTTGGTAAACAAAGAAGCCTCAGCATACAATTTTAGAGAGCACGGTATAGAGATCTGTAGGATCAAAAATAATTTTACTATATACTAATTAATCACTAATAATTTCGCTAATATATTATAAAAACTTCACTGAATTTAAATTTTATTAAGTGGCATCGAAAGCGTGAGAGTTGGCACAAGTTTTTGTATCTTAAATTCTATAGGAAGTATCTTCTATAAATATTCAAAACTTATTTGCTTCTATGCTTAGGCGCAAAAGACTCCGATTGTTGCAATCACAATACTTGTTACGTATTACGTGTTAATACTTCCGCAAACAAGACACGTGTGTAAAACGTCATCGTAAATCTGTTTTTCAGAATATCCTTAGTTATCGAGAACTTGGAAATGAGGAATCTATCGACTTTTTTGATCGATCGAGCAAAGTTATCGCTAATCGGCCCTACGATCACCATCAATATCTCCATTCCCGAGATTTACGCGTCGGGTCATTACAACATTTCCGGGATACTAGGAGATACATACCCGCTACGCGGCGCGGGTTCTTTCCAAACGACTGTACGCGACTTCCGCGTTTACGTGAACACCGTACTAGGCTACGCTAGAGGAATGTACATGAAGAGATTCGACCTCGACTTCTCGCTGCGTGCCATCAAAATACATCTGGAGAACTTTATGGGCGGTGAGGAGATCGGACAAATTATGAGCAAGGTAAGACTAATAAACATTTTGTTCTTTAAACGAGTCTTCGTCTATTTAAACATTAAAGAATCTTATTTAACTGATGTATGAAAATAATGTCTCTCTCTCTCTCTCTCTCTCTCTCTCTCTCTCTCGTTTTACATTTAACATTTAAATACTACGTAATAATACTACGTAAAGTTTTAATATCGGGATATCGTTTTACATTTAATATTTAAATACTACGTAATAATACTACGTAAAGTTTTAATATCGGGATATCGTTGTCTTTATAATCAAAGTGTACTCTCTATTTACAATTGTGATGAAAGTAGAATGTCAAAAGAAAACAAGATTGCTTGCATTCACAAGAATGCTGACAAATAATGTATCCCAACAATTAAATAATGTAAACGATATCTATTGAGTGAGTGAGTGAGTGAGTGAGTGAGTGGGTGAGTGGTCGAGTGAATTGCTTTTCAAAGAACTAACATTTATTTCATGATATGGTTTACCTATAATATCTATCCGTCGTAAAGATGACTCTACAATTTCACATGACAATCTATAAAGACTTATCCGTATTTTTACAAATCGTAGCCATTTCACAGAATCGTTCACAGTTCGTTTTACGACCAGTTGCCTCTACCTCTTACGATTTTACGGGGTAATGATTATCATAAAAAACTTTTTACGATCGTTTCAATATCCGATTTTATTCGCGATGTACGCAAACATCAGTGGGGCGAGGTCGCGTTTCTCCGGCCATTGAAACCGAAATTCCATGTCGCTTGCCGAATATGAATCGCTCGCTCGATTTGTTCGTGTTTCACATCGACAGCAACGCAGATCTCGACTGGCGCAACTGTTGATTTGAACACGTGTCGCTAACTGATTGGCTCCAAATGATTGCAATAAATCACAGATTACTGATATGCATCGAAAAAAATAAAGCAATTTATGTTCTATTAATCTGACAGTAAAAAATTACAATTTTAATTGTATATAAATAACATAACTGTGTGAAACACTTGAATTTCAGATTGAACAATATACTTGAGATCGATACTCTGATACAAAATTCTAGCAGAACAAAATCATTACAGGGTGGATTTCATCCGAATTATATACAACGTGTATTTCGATTATAAAATCAATCTATCGGTTTGCAGGTCTTTGAAGATTTAACACCGGAAGCAATGGACATCATTAAACCAGACATATTGCCCCCAATTCAGGATTATGTTGCGAGCCACGTGAACGAGACGATTCATCATCTGACTATGAGAGATCTGTTTCACGTTCTGCTGGGGGAGTACGAATTCGGAGATATCACGCATTTACTGATACCCTGAGGAGATACTCACGAAAATGTAGCAGAAATGCATCGCCGAATTATCGGGTCGCGCAGTTACGAGCGCAATAACACTAGCTTAATGTGTCTGACAATGCTTGAATGTCTTCATTCAAGATGCAAGAAATCGATTGCAACTCAATGCAAGTACAATGCACGTTGAGCTGGAACGAACAATACTCGCGACGATATAAAATGCGACAAGTCAAGTTGATTTTGAAGTCAGCTTTGTATTACGTAATACGCGTTGACCACTTGAAGATCTTTGACTACCTTGCCTGATGCTAACCATTGATTATCCATTGTCTTGCCGAAGAAGGATTATTTTATCCGCGTCGGGAAAGGGGGAGGGGTACGGAGTTATTGACTTCCTTTCGTTCGTTTCTCTCTTAAAACTATGTTAAATTAATTATTTCCGAAAATTCTTTTCCGATATAATCAATTCGCTCAAATATATCGAAAATTTTTATGCTAGATACGCACTGCTCGTTAAGAAATGACGAATTAGTTTACGCTATAGTTTGTATATAATATATACAATTTACATAATTCAGCTATACGGTAACTCATCTTCTTAGCATCTGCTTGAAAATTCGATTTAATTCCGTGCAAAGACATCGTAAAGTTTCCCATCACCCGCTGTGAGTGCATCAGTGAAAGAGGCAAAATGTTTAATTCATCGAATCGCTCGGTGAATCCCGGCGCATCTCTAATCCGCTGATAAAGGCGAGCGAAAGTATTACGACCTTGAATGGCGATGGCATCAAATCTTCAGTATTGCGAAATCGACGCCAGCCATTCATCCACTTAGGTGTCGGTGATCAATGATGAACGAAGTGAGAGGTGGTTTTACAGTAATGAAAAAACTATCAGTGTAAAATGGCTCGCCATTTTTTCGTTATACTGTTATACAGGGTAAGGCACTCAAACCTTTTAGCGTGTGCCATACATTGTGCATCAATTTTCATTGGTTGCCGTATGTTACTAAAAATAAATTTCATTAACATTTTGAAAGCCAGACAAGCCGAAATTAACAAAAAATTATTGGGATTTGTACGTATTAATTATTGTTTCATTTTTGTTGAATGTAGTAATAATTAAATTTGAAAAGGTAATTCATAAATAATAAGATAATAATTTTGTTGATGTTATATATCCGTATAAATATGTATAATAATTTCTAGAATTTTCTTAGCAATTACGACTGCAAATACTTTCGTAATTCCAAATACAAAATATAGTTTTTTTTTTTAATTTGTCATTGTCATGTAAAGACGTTTAGTTGCACGAAATTTTATAGATATAAAAGCACTATGTATGACAATTTCTACTTAAATATTATTACTTTCAATTTATATTAATGACCAAAGAGAGATAATATTTCATATATAGTATAAAATGATTATTATATATATATCACGTGAAAAAATAATTTATAAATTTATATATTGCTTACATTTAAAACATTAATTGAAACAAACGTCATATCTGAAGTGCAATGGTTTAAAAAATATCGAAGTTTTTAGAATAATTAAGTCTTATTCTTTCTTCTTCAATTGCTTCGGTTATCAAAAATGTTAATAGTTTACAATGATTAGCACACGTGAGCTATTTTTATTTTAGCTTTTCCGTTTATAATTTTGTTATAATTTTAAAATTTCCATTTATAAAGTATAACGTATAAACGGTTTACAAAATATAACACATACTGACACGTATATATAGTTTGCCGGAACATCGTATACGATTAAGTTAATTATTATAGCATACGTAATTATGCTAAACGCTGTATGCGCCATAATGCATCGGATTATAATTAGAGGCAGCGTCTGTATGATAGCAGAATTAATGTTGATGTTTTGTTAACTGTTATAAGATAATTTAGTGATTTAGTGATAGTGTGTAAATGGAACCACATCATTTACTGATTAAGATTATTGCAATTTGTAACAATCATAAAATTTATTAAATATTTATGATGTTACGGTTTTATATATGTTTCACATTTGTAAAACTTTGACACAGCAATAATTTTGTGATTAATCGTTTCTATGTGGAAACGAATTAATTAAAGAAATAATTTAATTAATTTTCCCAATACTCATTTTTATCCAGCAAAAATGCATAATAATTTATATTAAATCATTGAACAGAAAGATTTCTCTTCAGATGAACAGCGATCTTTTAAAATAATTTAATACTTTAAAGCTTAAATTTCAGTGACAAAATACAATCGATTATATCTCGCCTATTATTATTAATGTTGTTAAAAATTTTATGATAGATCAGAATCGTAAATCTATCTATCAGATAAATTTCATTTTACAAATTTTTATGCAGCCTTCAGATAATATCTCATATATTCTTAAGAACAACCTGATAGTACTCATTGTTACGGCACGGTCGTCTATAATCAATCATCCTCCATCACTTGTGTCTATCAGCTGCTTTTAAATGAATTAAAAAAGATTCCTAATTTTGAGAGTCACCAATTTTATTATTTAATGTACTATTTCACGATCTTAGCTTTACGTCTAATGTTTTCAATAAGTTTATCGATCACATAAATTCCTTTTTAAATCAACGACAAATGAAAAATTAAAGCTACCACAAGAATTTATCGATATCGCGATTGCGTAATCATTTTTAACGAAATAATTAATTAAACAAAATTCATCCTGGATTGGCGATAACACGTGATGATTATTTTGTATTATTTGTTTCAGCTTCGTAACAAATTGACATACGGAAAAGATAAAAAATATGGTCAAAATTGATGAATAAAAAATAATTAAAAGAAATTAATTAAAACAGAATTTACAGATTATCTTTTACATATCTCTCTTTCAAATAAGAAATTATTTAACGATTTAATTCTATATCAAATATAAAATAGAAATAAATCCGCTTTAATATAATTTTCCATTTCCAATTATTGTTTCGTTACGATTCCTGTATTACTGTGATGAATTATTATTCGAACCGTAGGTTTAGAATTATGTGTACGTAGGTTGGAATTACGTATTTTAACCTCCTATGTTTCAATCGTATACGTATACGTATATGTTCACCACTAACTTTATGTGCAGTTGTACATTTTATGTAGTACGGAGTAACATCTATTAAACAAAATCAATTTACTTGTGTTGACTGTCAATAAAGAAATTTTACACCAACGTGGTTCATACACCGTTTAGATTGCCAACTGTATCGATAAAAATTTTAATCCCCTGCCATAGGGTTAATAACTATCGTGCTACAAATACGTGATCGTCAATAAGGATAAAGACTTCATCCCTACGTTACTCCCATCGAGATACTCATCAGTTATCGATAACAGCTTATCTTGGACTACCGACTACTGTTTGTTTAACCAAGGCGTGAAGACAAACAAGTGTCTTGAAGCATCCATGAATCAGCGAATTTGCACAGCGCCGCATTTAAAATCTTTACAAATTCTATAGAATTACAAATGTAAAAGTTCTTAAATTTTTTTATATCTAAAAGTGAGATTATGTTAAGTTAAAAAAAAACTACTTAGGAGATCTTTGAATTATTTATGCGAAATGAAGATTCACGTACTTATTCAATATAATATTTCAAAAATGTTAAATTTAAAAATATATAAAATTACTTAATTTAATTTTTAATTTAATTTATTGCAATGCTCAGTGGAGAAAACTACAAACAAAAAAATTATAATAATGAGTGCACGTAAATGATGAAGCACCAACATATTGTTGTTATAAAGCCTACCAGAAAAGACAACGTACGAATATTTGACAAATTGACAAATAAACAATCGATCGTTTACAAGAGGAAACTTAGTCGCTCTTATACAGCAACAGATCCATTTACACGCATACACTCACAGCACACCACACATATTTAAAATACGCATAATATTTCTGACTCGGGTAGATACGCGGCTTATAATTGATTCATTCGAAGAAACAGTCGATGCGATAAAGCTAGAGGCAGCGGTGCGAAAAGAAAACAGAGAGGAGGAAGATTTTATGGTAAAGGGAAGTTTATTGAATTATTTGACTGCGCAGTAGCAGAAGGAAACGCGGAAGTTGGCAGAGTGATGTGAAGGAAAGGAGAGAAGGTCAGGGTAACGGATATTTGGGGCGTTTGAGAAGTGGAGCTCAGAGTTCAGGTGAAAAAGGCGTCGAAGATATAGAAGAATATTGGAGAAACGGAGACAGAAAACAAGGCAGCAGAGATGAAGACAAAACGTTGTTGTATTGAGTCAACCGGAGTTTAAATAAAGTGGGGATATATGGTCAAAACAAACATAACATTGCAGGAAAAACAGAGACATAAGTTTTGAATGTATTGAATGCGATTTAGCAATGTTGATTCAGTGCTGGAGTGTATATACGACGTCGGCGTAATCAAAAAGAGAGATGACGATTGAGATACATGAAACTTTTGGGAAGTGGAGAGGATATGCCAGAAAACATACAGAAGATGCAAACGAGCAAAGGCGACTCGACACTTTATGTCCACGTGCGATTTAAGGTTGTATGACCCGTAAGATCTCTGCCAAAAGTTTAAGAAACGTAACATAAAGCTAATTAACATATTTAAGAAGATATTCTTTACTGGAAAGTAATATTTATATTAATATTTTATTAAAATAACGGTTGCCTGTGTTTTTAAGAGCTATAGAGACATTTTTATGCATATTTTCTCGTATGCAAACTTTCACTTTTAATGATTTTTAGAAAGACTGTACCTGACTTGCAACTGACACAAACGAAAATCTGAAAGTGTGAAAATCTTTAAAAAGTAACAAAACATAGTAGTTACTGTTTAAAAATACTAATGAAATTATATTACGTTATTTATTTACGTCATTTATTAATAAATTAAATACAATAGCTCTCATAAAAAGTATTTTGATCGCAACAACGTCGCATTTTCTGTAAGATGGTAGCATTGATCTCACTCGACATCAGCTGCGTGAACGCGAAGTGTGTGCTCTGAGCACGTGTAATATACAGACGCAACGTTTGAGGTTAGTTTTCGCTTGCGCTACGAAAATGCCAAAAGTAAAACGTTACATGTGCCATGGAATTGTTACAATCATCTGGTGTGGTTTCGACTCGTGTCTTCAAATTACGTTTCCCAGTATTTGTCTGTGCTAACCGTTGATTGTACACTTTTTCAGTGACAACTTTTCCTTTCCACATGTAACGTTTTACTTTCGGCATTTTCGTAGCGCAAGCGAAAACTAACCTCAAACGATCCGTCTGTATATTACACGTGCTCAGAGCACACTTTCGATACACAGGAGGCTCTATTGGAAAAAGTAACGGACCTCTGTAGTATTTGTTATCCTTTACGGAGAGTGACGGAGAGAGAGGTTCTAAATGTTCTAATGTGACGTCATAGTGCGCTGTTGCCGGATCTCTGTACTTACGAGTTCAGCGAGACCAAGCGAGACTGTTCTCTGTTTGGTTTTTATTCAATATTTCAGAAAATATCCTCGAAGTCATAATTTTTTTGGTTCTAATTTGTTTGTAAGATGTTTATTAATATTTCTGCAAAGTTTTAAAAGGATGCCATATTTTCTTCGATATTAATTTCTCAAATGAAGTTGAAAAAACAGTGAAACTTGATGAATTCCCATAAGAGCCCATGTTAAATTCAAATTGTTATAACTTTGAACGGGCCTTGCAAACTTGTTCAAACTTGGTACAATGCTTTATTATTATAATACTCATCACCTGACAAAGTTTGAAGAATTTGGCATTTTTTTCTTCTAAGGGGTCATACAACCTTAAAAGACCAAGAAGAATCAATGGCCCGTATTCTGAACGCACTTTTATCGATAAACGCGCGCATTTATTTCTGAGATTCTATAGTATATGTAATGTAAACTATATGTTAAATGCGCGCATTTAGCGATAAGCGAAAAGTGCGTTCAGAATACGGGCCAATGTAATAGTAAATACCGAGTATTTTAATTGAGGATGATCGAGGTATAGGTACGGAGTTAAGAAAGACATCGAAGGATTGAAAATGAGATAGAAGTACAGAATCAAGAAAGACATTGAAGGATTGAAGATGAGATAGAAGAACCGGAAATGAGAAATAAGGATTTGGAAAGATTAAGATGTGAAGCGTTGAAGGATTATAGCCCATTTAGCTACCGTTTTAAGGTCATTGTTTAACGCCGCAATGGAAAGTTAATATCTTCGGAATATCTTTGATTTAATAATTTTACTCAAACAATTTTATCAATAATTACGCCAACGTAAGTGCTTTGCGTTTTTTAAGTTGCGTTTTACAAAAATATACCAATTGTTTGTATCTTAATCATTCGATGCATTCACATTAATTAATTCAATGCTTTCTTTAATTTAATGTGATACTCAATGAAAGATTATATATATATCACGAGATGCTCTAATCTAGGATCTCTAATCTATATTCGATGAATATTGCTAAAAGTAATACCCATTGATAAATAATAATTCTACGGGATTAAATCAGAGTATGTTATCGTTACCGCTGATACCATAAATCTCTATTCGCATGATGCTATCATCATCAGTGATCTGTGATCACGCACATGCGTGGGCTCTTCCATTCAATCTCGCAAGGTACCTATTCTGGCAGAGGAATATTTTTTCGCATTAATTCTTTTCCATTTGATATTAAAGAGCAAATTAGATTAGTAATCTTTATTTCTATGTCAGATTAACTTCAGTCATAAATGTAATTAATTTTCAAATTATAGACAGCCAGAAAAAAATTGCATGACTTATTTTAATATGGTCAAAACAGAAAATTTTAATTAGCTTAAGTCTTTAGTAAACACATAAAATATTTCTGAAAGAAATTAAAGAGAAATATTATTCGTTTTACTCCAGTTTAATTTACAGAAGTTCGTATTGACATTTTTGTAAACATATATTAATAAATATATTTTGCTTTTCAGAAGTTAAGGGCTCGTGCATGTACGAGCTTTTACAATCTTCGCGTTACTGACGCGTTTCGACAAGAAGACATTATTGCGTACCAGTTCGAGAATATGGGACTTTTTTCATGCATCCTATTGAGATGTTTTCATTCCATAAAATTTTATTGGACACGAAAAAACTCAATAATCTCAGAAGATCGCTCGATTACAATTCGGTGATAATACGTGAGAAGTAGAAGGCGTGGGAAGCTACCGGATATTCGTGAGTATCGTAATCAATCGTATTTGGTTGAATAACGCGTAGGTAGGCAAAACCAATTGCTAAAACCGTGCAAGATATACAGATAGAGAATTTTCGATAACAATAACACAAGTTCTCTCGTCTAGGCAACGCTTCACAGTCAAAGTTTCAACAACAGATCACGCGCATGACGAACGTATTCGCGAGGATTGCAACACAAACTCAGAATGTTTAACGATATTTGTCGTTGGTCTTCCATGCACGCTAAGCTTGTTAATTATTCCTGTTTATGATACCGACCGTTTAATAAAAGTGCAAAGCCGTTGTTGGTTCGACATTGTTTCTTTCGCGTTTGTTCTCATTTCGCCTAGGATATATATTGCGACGTATACCTAAAGTAAACGTTTTCCATTATATGAGCTTTATAACGGAGGCGTAATATTTACGAAGACGCGGAATCGCTATTTCGTCAATAATTGATTTTTACGACGTGGTAGTCGTTCACCTTGAGACAAAAGCGTTTGGACAGTCATCCCATATGTTTCTTACAGTAAAATAAAAATACAAAACTGGAGACAAAACACATGTCGGAAATTCTATTTAACATCATCCGTTGTTTATCAAATACTATGTGTAAAATAAATTTTACGAATGAAGCAGTCATTCAGAGTTGAAATATATATATAAAAACAAAATATAAAAAATAAAAACACGTCAAATGCTTTGTAACGATCGAAATCTGTCAATGGCGATTACAAAGTTGTACGGAATTCTTCGCTCTATTAAATTTCAAGCTTGACAAGCCTTAGCAAGAAAATTTAAAATTTTATTATGCAAAAATATCTTTAGAATTCAAGAACTTCATAATAAGTTTTCTGAACAGTATGTCACAATTATTCATTAATATTAAGAATTAACAGAAAACATTGTTTACAAGCAAAAAGACAATGAAAAAAGACATGTAAAAAATTTTTTTAAAAAGATAGCAACTATAGTCATTACATATCATAGTCGTCAATCATCAAAGTAAACAAAACTTAGAATCACACACAAAATCCTATTCAGGTTTGAAAAGAGGTTTGAAATAAAAAAAAAATCAAGGTAATATCTATTTCCAAGTGTTTAAATACTAAATTTCCCAAAAGCTCTCTATTTTTAATATAGTTTATAAACTGAAAACTATTGATGTTTATATTCTTTCATAAGAGTCGCCATTTTAGATTTAGATAAAGAATTTGTAACGTTTCATATACTAATTTGATCGAAACAAATAAAATTATTCTTATTTTGTATTCTTATGTTGTACTTTAAGGAATAAAAAAAGTATATTGCAGGATATTTTGAAGAATGTATAATATTCTGTTCTCTCCTTTTATTTTACGGTTTAAGAGAGTTAGGATGAAATACAGTTTGTGGCTGGCGTCTGGCCACTTTATATACCCTCGAAAGCAACAGTTGGTGGGGAGTCACGCGAGCCGACAGGCGCACAAAACGCGTATGCGGGTGCAACGAGGAAAGCTCGGAACGAACGCCGGTGACGGGGGTGCGCGTAAGAGAAAGAGAGAGAGAGAGAGAGAGAGAGAGAAGAGGGTGGAGGGAATCGGAAATCGGACGGACATGCGTAAGATCCGACAATATAGAAACGTACATCTCAGGAAGGCAGTCGCGTTGAAACGGCGCTCGATGTCGGATGCATGGATATGCATAGACAATTTCGGACAGAGTCCGACGCATCACAAACACTCTGAGATGTTACGCGCGTAACGAGACACGTAAAAGAACGGGTGTAAACACAACGTAAATTTCGACGTAAAGATCAATCTGAAAATTTTCGGTACGCGGTTTGAAATTCATTGATATAACATCGACGGTTATTTTGTGTAAATCGTGCGGTAATGCTACGAAGAAGTTCAATCGGAAAAAAATAGATGATAAGGTTTTGTATCATATGATAGATATCAATTCAAAGAGAGCAGATATAAAAATATTGATATTTACGTGACGTAATGTGCAACGACAAGTGCCTAGTTACATATCACGCAATGTAAAATTGCTGGAGGGATGTCCCGAATTTCTCGAACAACGAAACGCATAATCGCGTGCTATATACTTGTAAACGTTACTGGTCTCGTGTCGTAGCCAATATATTTTTATCACGCAAAACCTGTTATAGATAGTCAAAAGGTGACGTTTAACATTTAACGCGATCTATATTGACGGGATATAAAGAGCTCGTCAGGGAGTTTATGTAATGGAAAAGATTTATTCCAAATCGTTGGAGAAGCCATACTTCTGAAAAGAAACGCATGAAATCTTATGAACAGTTTACAGAAATATAAACAAGTTATTCTTTAAAAAATGTATCAAATTATCATAGAAGTTACTAAATATCATTATCATTTAGTAAATATCTGTTTCTCTTAGCAATATTTTATTATTAGGTAAGATTATATATTCAAACGTAGATAAAAAAGAATAAAAGATTGTAGATAAATGTAAAAAGTTTATAAAATAAGTTCCTAAATAATACAATATCTTCCGGTTAACTAAATGTTCACATATATGCGGAGTGCTTCAAGTTGATGTTACATTTCATCTCAATTTAGGACAAAGGGGTTGGTAAATAAATAACCTCAATAAACTAAGACGGCACGAGAGAGACAGAAGACAGATAATTAAATTCCTATTATCCGCGGCATATCCGCGGCACGTTATGGAGAGATGGTTGCTTATCATCATGATATAAACAGGTGTATCATCAGCGCGCGCGGCACACATTGAGCATCTCGACCTTTCTCATGACAAACCACACACGGTACAGTGAGCTTCCGCGAGCCGGCCGCTGCAGTTTTCGACACGAGTAACAGACGTCGGCTGACAGTTGACAAGTCCTTACGCAAATTAACCGCGAGAATCCCAACGGATTCGCGTGAATTGGGCGAGTCAACGTCTTTCGTCAGTGTGACGGCGTAAAGTGGACGAGACGAGCGAGAAGATCAGTCGAATATAAAACGAGATACGCACGCAGTGGTAACTCTCTCCCGATACCTCGTTGCGCGGTAAGTACTTTTGCATTTAGTATTTCACTCACGGGTAAACACATAGCGATAGATTAAGTTAGCGTTTTCGCAGTTAGCCTTGAAACGCGCGCTTCCTGAAACGACCAAAGGTGCGGTACAAATTTGATTTTGTTATTACGAGATATAAAATAAAAGATGATACAAGCAACGATACTTAATGTACAAGCGTATCATTCTTCCTGATTGCCAAAGTAGAGTGATGTTGGAACATTATTGCAAATAGAATGATGTTGGAACATTATTGCATGTGGAGAGATGAACACGATTGTCGTGTAAGAATGTCTCATTTGTATATGGAACAATATACACAAAAGTTGTACAAGACTCAATTCTAATAATCTTTATAATAATAATTTTACTTTTCATCAATTTTAATCGAAGATAACGATTACTTTCGTTTCTTTATATGAACTGATTTCAGCGATATAGAGAAATTGCTGTGCCTCTCATACGCGTTGCTATGGTTTTGTCACGTGCTAAGTTAAACGCAGTTTTCAATTTTGCACGAATTCGTTTCATGCAGGTGAACGGGCGTTATATAGAAAGTTTTAACGAAATAAGTTCTATTCCTAATCACACTGAGATGAATTTTGATTACATTCAATGTAGTATGGCAATTACGCAGCTAATTACTGCGGTGGCATTCGATTATGTCACGATAAGATACATAATATTCTTATACATCTAACTTGCGCATCTATGCTCTGTCTAATTCTAACTTTATGCTTATGATTAAATACATCGTTATTCTAGTATAAAAATGAACATGATACGAAATTGATTTATTTGCGCAAAGAATAAAATAATATTTTAAAATTTATAAGCCACTATTTTAATATGTATAATAAAACTAATGCGATTCCCTAAAGCGGAAAAAAGTTTTTATAATCCTTGGATCCGAATCTTGGATTAGCGTACCCAGCACTCCTCATTTTCTGAAGTTTATCAAACAAAGTTATATAGTAATTAACATAAGCACTTTATGAATAAACATGAAGGCCGACTCTCATTTTATATCTGCGACGATAATCCGAAAAGGAACATCTTGAACGACAATCATGTTTATCTTTTAGCACGCAATAAACTTACGTCTCGGTCTTCGACATGTAAAAGTCGACGGGAAAAAGGAAAAAAAAACAATGCGGGGAAGGAAAGGAAACAAAATAGAGCTGCCAAATAACTACAGCTAAAATGGAAGACTCCGATGTCTAGCGCGGAATTGTTCTTACCTATGTCAGCGTGATCGTGACAAATGCAAACGCGATAAATAATAACGGCACTAATCTGACCTATTCTGTACACATACGGGATATGTCCGACAATTATATCATCGTTCAGGATATCGATAACGATAGACGGAGAAAAAAGCGCGCGTGTAAAATCCGATTCATTTCGATATTAACTCTTTCCCAAGTAACGTTAGCTTTGATATAATCGCCGATATTGTTATTCACTTGAGAAAATCGATGAGAAGTCTATAAGAGAATTTAAATTGTCACAAGAATATTAATTATGCGATGGAGAGAGCAGAATTACATATAAGCAATTTTTATCAGCTATGTTATTTTTTAAAATTGTTGTCTCTTTACTGAATGTTATTAACTTAATTTATTGTATCATTGTACATGATCTAAGCGAGTATATATTTTGTTTTTTGTTTGTCTTTAACTTTTGTTAGAATCAATAATTTGCAACAAATTTATGGATGTAGCACATTTTCTCCTATTTTGATAAAATAATTTTAATATACATATTATATGTGCGCGATTTAGTTTTAGCTTCGGCAAACTATTGTCCCCTGCGTAGAAACATTATTCTATAATAGTTATACTTCTCGCTCAAAAAAATAAAAATTAAAAAATAAATCTGTCAGAACTTTCCGACAAATAAAATTTTGCTGTATAATAATAGCTCGATGTAATCAATCGCGTTTTGTTTTGAAGATTGCGATATCTTATCGGAAATAAAAGTAATTCCATATACATATAGATGAAGAGGTGGATACTAGAATCAGCCTTACAATCGCACGATCGTAAAGAATGGTTATCTGAGAACACGCAATTATTTGGAGCGGTAACTGTGATCTATTGCCACGTGTTATCTTAACTATTTCCGCAAAAAGATGAAAGGAAAGATATACTATACCTTGAAACTACTAAATTACACTGACATTTCAATTTCTCAACAAGGTTACATAAATATAACGGTAATTGAAATCAAACTAATAAATCAAAATAATCGATCTTTGCTTTAAATTATATGAGAAACTTGCAAATTAAGAGTTCTTGTTCGAATAAACGACAGACGTAATAAAATGATCGCTCTTGCGAAATGTCATAAAAAGCATTTAAAAAATCAACAGACTTATTCCGTAGTAACCGCACTGAATTAATCAACTGAGAATTAAAAGTGTTTCTATCAATAAAATGCACGACGGATCACTTACGGCATAAAAACTGTTAATTTATAAACGATGTTTCTGCTTCGTCTCGGAGTGATGGATTAATTCGATCAGATTTTACTATACCACCCGTTAAAGCTTTCAGCTTTAAAAATTTGTCAAAGGCAAACAGATCGAATAGATATGAATAAATCATATCTGATTATTTCAGAGTATCGTCAAATAATGATTTTCGCTTTTTTACAATGGTGTTCGGTTCAGCTTTTATGTTAGTACAACCGTATTTTATTAGAGTTCAGTACAATTTTACTCATTCGCCCGTGTTACCCGTGTATAATATGAAACAATTACTCTTAACATCCGTCCATCTTTCTTTTCCATCGACGATACAACGTTAGCATAATCGAGTTTGATGACGATAAAATAAAAACGACGGCTATACGATCATTCTTCGAAAGTGCATAATTAATATTACATGAACGTTAATTTAAGCTACGCTAGGATGGATAAACCGTGAAGGGTTTTCTTTTAGATTGTAATAAGGGGACTAAAGCTCATCATGCAGGAAGATATTTTCCTCTATCGCTATTATATTTCACAATGTATGCAATGAATTTTGTATATTTAATTATGCTACACAACAGTTTTTATTATCCACTTAATATTATTTACTTTCCGTGTATTTCACTCATTATGAAAAATGAGTAGAGATACCGCGTTTGCTTTTATACTTTCTAAGTTTTTCTATTTTAAGTGATACTATAACTTATATATAATATATATAAGGTGTTGCAGAATTGCACGGCACTATTCTAGGGAAATATTTTCTAGGTCAAAATGAAAAAAGTTTATATAAACATGTATCCCAAACTTATTTATTAGTAAGATAAAGAGTAAAGATTATGTTTAACAGTAAAACATTTAAAGTATGTTTTCGAAGTGACTGCCGTTTTGTTGAATGCAGCATTCAACACAATGCATCCATGTTTTTCTGGAATCAGGATTATTTTTGATACTTGCTACAGCTTCCATTATGCTTCCTTCTATTAGCATGCAAGAAGAATTAAGAAATCGCATAATGGAAGCTGCAGCAACTATCAGGAATAATCCTGATGCTATAATATAAGACGTGCCACAGAAACATGGATACATCATATACTGAATGCTGCATTCAACAAAACGCCGACCACTTCGAAAACATACTTTAAATGTTTTACTGTTAAACATAATCTTTACTCTTTAATATCTTACTGATAAATAAGTTTGCGACATATGTTTATATAAACTTTTTTATTCATTTTAATTTAGAAAATATTTTCCTAAAATAGTGCCGTGCAATTCTGAAACACCTTATAGATAATAACTAATAAAATGTATTTACAAGAGAAGAAAGTTTCGTTCATACGATGAATTTGTTGAGCTCGAGGTCCGAAAAACTCAATCCGGAAGATTCAATTAAATCGCTTCGCCGGAAAAAATCAATACACCAATTAAGAGTCTTAGTGACACTTGGTTTATTTGTTCGCGCAATAGAAAAGCCAATTAAACGGAAGGAGAAGTTTAAACAGGAACACTCGAGACTTGCAATTGATAAATTGCATTTTGCAATAAATGAAAGCCTATATATGCAAAATAATTATGTTCTATCCACATACTTGAAAAGAAATCCATGACATTAGTCGACAAATGCCATAATTTCCACCGAAGGCATTATGCGATCCCGCAACACTGCTCGGGTGGCAAGGTCTAATTCAATAAAGCGACACACACACGTCGCGTTCCGTCTGTCAATGGCAAACGCGTGATTAAATTACGCGGGTACGCGCATTCGTGCGACGCTTTGAATTTTTCACAGCACACCACACGAATCGATCCGCGACAAGAGTGCACGGAAAATATTGACGCACTTTCGCGTCGCGACAAGCCTTCAATCCTAGTGTCGATTTTAAGAGACGAGAGCCCACCGGTGGACCGAAGAATTATGTGTACCCTTGGGTGCATTCTCATACAACCAGAGTGCTTGAAATATTGACGAAACAAGATGACGAAAAAAGTAGCACTTTACTTGTCGCTATCTTTTTCGATATATCTAGTATCTCAATATTCTCAATCAACTGACAAAGAAAGAGAAAGAGAGAGAGATAAAGAAAAAAAAGAGAAAAGCTTGGAGAAAAGATGTAAAAAGACCAAAAAATGCACAAAGCTCATAATTATGTGATTTTGCTATTATACAGTCATTCGCGTATAATATTTGAATAATTCATGAGAATAATTAGTGTCCTCGAATTATCACAACTTTGAATCAGCAACTAATTAAAAAAATTAGAGCTGATTACTTTCATGTCGAAGAATTTCAGCATTTTTAATTGTGAAACGTGAAACTATTAAAAATGAAGGACGTTTGATAACTTAAGCTACAAATAAAGATTGCTGTTACGTATAATTATATTATTATAAATGAATTTTTTAAGTAAAAAAGATTTAAAAGTATTTATATTAAAAATACGAAACTTTTTATTTAGGTAAAAATCACTATATTAACAAATTTATAAGTAGGAAAATAAGATTATTTCGCAAA